TCGCCCCTTCTCTCTCTCCTTCCTTCCTTCTTTCTTTTCTTTTGTTAAATTGATTAAAGTTCCAATCTTTATTAAATTTTTGTTCTTAAATTGTTATTATTATGATTTGATTATGCATATGAGTGCAAAAGATTACAAATTTTTGAATTTTACTATGTTTAATTTAATGACTAAAATTTCAGATTATTATGAGTATAAAAAGTGGGTTGAAAATCTTGATTTTTCATGGTTTTAGGGTTTAAAACGTGTTGATTAAGTTATCTAATTATATTATGTCTAAATTATGTTAAAACATAACTATTTTAATTCCTTTTAAAATTTCAGATTTATTAAAGTTTCAATCTTGGGGTTTAAATTGTATTAGTCTTATATTTTTATGTTCCTAATCTCATATTATAATGGTTGTGAGTTTTATATGATTTTAAGCCTTGAACTTTAAAGTCTAATTTCATGAATTAAATTTCAGATTTTTATTAAACTTCAAACTTGCTGTAATTTCATGTATAAGAGTGTATTTTAAGGTTTTTATGAAGGAAATTTAAAGAACTATATATAAGCCTTTAATTTTAACTAAAGGAAAGGTTTTAGGGGCCGTTTGGTTCGCTGTAATGGGGAAAGGGAATGGAAATGATTACCTTTATAAGTGTTTGTTTTGAATCTTTTGTCATTCCCATTCTCCATTTTTATTTTTGGGTTTACCCAAAATTGTCCACTCATTCCCCACCCCCCCCTAGCCTTTTGCATTCCCATTCCCCTTCATTACCCACACCCCTCTCTCTCTTTCCTCTCAAGCCTCTCCACTGCTTGGCTGCTCCCTGCCACAGTCGAAGACGTTGCCGTCGCCGGTGTTCATGTCCGACTGCAGAACGTCCGCCGCCGGTGTTCACGTCACGACCGCCGGTGAAGCTAAGTCGAACACCGACGCCCCTCTCTCTCTTCTCAAGCTTCTCAAGTGAACCCTAACGAGCTCGAAGCCGTCCCCGTCGCCGGTGAGCCTTCCGACATCAGATCCGTGACCGCCGACCACCTTTTGCGACCGTCGACCGTCTGCTGCAGGGAAGCCCTAATTCCTCCGTTTTGTAATGTAGTTTTCGTTTTTTTTTTCTTGAATTTACGTAACTTTGTGGATTTGCCATGTTTTAAACTGGTAATGGCGGCGGAGGAGGTCAGTGGGGTGTCGACGATGGCAGAGGCGATGCTGTGGAGAGGGAATGTCGCATTTCTTATTTACTTTTGTTAACATGAATAAGATTTTTAATCGTTCATGCACTTGTAATAAGACATTACTCTTTAATTTGTTCATAAATGCCTTCATGCATGGTGATTGAATTTGCTATAGAATTTGCATTCTTGAAATTTTTTTGCTATAGCACGAATGAATTTTTTTTTTTTTTTTTTTTTTCGCTGAATCAAGAATGGTTTGATTCCCTAGTTTGAACCAAAGGGAATCAGTCAGCATTTCATTCCGTTTCCTGGATACAACCAAACAACCAGGGCAAATCAGAGTTAATCCTTTCCTTTCTCCTTCATTCCCTTTCAACATTCCATTCCGATTCCCCTGTGCGAACCAAACGGCCCCTTAAAGTGTTTTTTAATTGGATTTTGAAGGTTTTAAAGTAAGTTAGTATTGCTGTAAATTTAATTGCTTGGGTATTGATGGAACTATTGTTGTTTGGTTTAGGAGAGGATTTCGTAGAAGGCGATTTCTAGTTTCTAAAGTGGCCAACCAATTCGTTTACACAAGGTACGTACAAGGATACGAAAAACCTTGACTTTAGAAGCATGTTTAAGGATTTGGAAAACTTAGAATCATGATTAGGAAACTTGTGGTTGATTGAAATTGTTTGGTAATAAATCTCTTTGGTATTTATGCTTGAATGTGCATGATTTATAACTTTTATGTTATGTTATCTTGTAAGTAATTTTATATGCATCAACTTGCAAGATGAACTTGGAGGCAAAAATACATGTTGGATTGAATTATTATTATTACTTGTTCATGATTATTGAAATGTAATGAGTAAAGGAAGAATTGAAATCTTATAAGACGAGGTTGAGAATTTGAGGTGTCTTATGCACTTAAGGTGTTTATACACCAAGATAGTTTAAAGAATTCAATACTAAATGTTGTTTGTTACTAGTAATTCAAGAATTAAATTGGAAATTGAACTTGCTTGAATGATTATTAATGCTTGATTGGTTGTTTTGCTTTTGTAAATGAGTCACCCCCAAGTTTAAACATGTAACTCTCGTAAAGTTCAAGAAGGATGAGCAATAAAACTCTAGATTTGTGCAAATCTAGAGTAATGACAAATAGGGGTTGGGGTGCACGGGGTATTAGCCGTGCACTTTTCTAGAGGTCGTCTGATCTCCGAGTCTCTTGTTTTCAAATACTTTTTAAAACCATAAGGAGTTAGATGAGATCTCATACTAGCTATGGCCACAAAGTCGTGCCCGTCTGCTATTGGATGTTTATTGATGTTTCCGAGAGGAGGCATGGGGTTTTTCTTTTATTGATGTTTCGAATTGGAGCACGGGGAGACAACCTTGTCTATTGCTTAATCCAATGAATAAAATGAGATGAAATAATCAGTACTGATTAGAGAAGTCTTAGTAATAATAACAATTGAGTCATTTGTTTGAGTCAATAATTAAATTGTTGTGTGTTGATTGATAACTAGTAGCATGCTAAGAATTCTTTGTTATAATTCGTAGCTTGTATGTACTCAGCGTTGCTAATTGCGTGCTTTGTGTGTCTTTTTCTTGGTCATGGTCTTCGCCTTTCAATGATCCTGTAATGATCCAATCTTTACACTTGTAACATTGGGGAGCAGACTTATCACAAGTGTTTACATAGTTTGGACTTGCATCAAGGTGGTGGGATTTTGAGTGGAGAGTTGGTTTTTGTTCGCAGTTTATTTCATTTCTTAAGTTTGAGTTTATTTAAACTCAGGTTTGGTTCATTTAATACTTTGTTTATTGGGTTTGAATAAGGGCCTTAATGGTTCTAACTTGTAAGACTTAATTTGGTTTCGTTCGTTGGTTTTGAAACTTATTTATAATTGAGTTAGTTTTTCCGCTGTTAAATTCTGAATTAGGCTTAACGTTTGAACACGTGGCGGTGGCACGTCAATATTTCTCTTGTATTTTATTAAAGGTATCTACAGGTTTAAAGAGAGAATTATTGGGGTGTTACAGTAAATAGATACCTATGTTATTATTGATTTGAAATTATTTTATTGAATTTAAATTATTTCACTGAACAGAAAGTATTTTTACCAAACTAAAATTATTTTTACTGATTAAAACTTATTTTACTGATTCTCTAATATTTTTTTAAAATAAATTAAATAACAATGCATTTTGTATGCGGCTAACCACACCATCTGGCGGGTCGGACAAAGTAACCCCTATAAAACTGATCGAGTAACCCCTATAATACTAACTGAGTAACCTCTAACACTAACTAAGTAACCCCTATCTATAACACTGATTGATAACCACTATAACAATGACCAAGTAACCCCTATAGCACTAACGAAGTAACTCTGATCTTGTAATAGTTGGTGACACGGTTTGGCCAGCTACGTATAAAAGTTTGTGATTAAATATATTATAAATGGATCTTATTTTAAAAAAACATTTTAAAACGAATTTGATGATGAAAACAGAATTGAGTTATAGGATATTTATTAAAAGTTATGATTAATTTTGTATATATGAAATATTGGAATTCTATCGATAATAAAACTCTATACAACAATTTTATCTTAAAAAATCTATCCAAGACTCGCTTACTTAGCATCATATGTGTCACAATAAAACCTATTTTATCCTACGTGGTGCAACACTTGGCGAAAAACTGTAATGCCAAGTGTCGATGTCTCGTGGCCTGGCCACGAGACCAGCTTTATTTATTAGTGATGTGATATGATATTAGATTTGTACGTGAAACCAAAATAATTGAGTAAGGCATGTATGATCGATCGAGTCGTATTGTTCTTTTTTGAGTAACCTTAAAAACTCTACATTTCTAACAAGTTAAAAAAAAATCCTCCTTACGAGAGGAATTCCTAATTAATGTAATTTTCTACAAGTTATATGTACCTAGAACTTTACGTACTTACAACGTGAACATATTCCATACATTAGGTCAATCATAACTTATGGGATTCTCTAGGTCAACATTGTGAGGCCATGAAGCATTTTATATTTGCATGCCCTATTGCTCTCTTCTCAACAGAAGCAAAGTGACAACATAAATCACCTAACGTCCACTTAACATGGTTTTACACTATTTCATTTTCTGTATTATCATCTTGTACAACTTTTTCTTAACTAACTCTTACCATTTTTTTTATTCAACATTTCCTATCAATAGACTCCATAGCCAAAGAGGTCAATGGACTCCTTGAGCATGCTCGGGTGTACTCGAGTACTTGTAATTGTCGCGGAGATGGATGAGGTGAGGGATGTTGATGAAAGGTACTATGATGCAGTTAAAAAGAGTGGGTTTAAAGGGATAGTAGAGTTGTTTGAAGTAAAAGGAGAAGGCCATTGTTTTCATGCATTTAATCCAGATACTGACAATGCTAAACTTCTATTCAAACGCCTTGCTACTTTCCTTCACAAGTGATTTTTATTCTAGTGAGCTTTTTCATGTTCGAATAATTTGTAACTAAATTTTTTTTCTATTTCTTTTGAGCTTCTCAACAATTAATACAAATCTTGAATGAGTTATTGTAAGTTTGAGCTTGTTTACGAGCTTTTTCGAGTTTAAATTTGTTTAGTTAACTTTTGAACCATCTTCAATAGGAACACTCCGAAGTATACCCAGAGTATCAAAAAAATCCTTCTTGTGTTATACAAGTAATAATATTATTGTCAAGTTAAGCTTGTACTCCCTTGTTTGGTTATTTTCCTTTATTCGTGCAAGATATAGGCCACATAGCCCTTGTTTTAATTGTTTGTGATCGTAGTGAGCAGAAATTGTGATTCTACCTAGAACTCAAGTATAACTATTTCTGTATAGTGAATACACTCGATTATATGCAAGAAATCTACAAACTCGGGGATGGAATTAATTAGTAAGTACAGGGGAATTTTCTTTTGCAACAAAGCTGAATTTTCATTTGCTACAAAGCCATAATTAGCTACATCACAGTCGCCAACCAATACATGTTAGCCTGGTGAAGCTTGCTAGCTTGCGTTCGTTGCATATCTATCATGATCAGCTCCTTGCATCCGTTCCGCCAATGCCTTAATCTATGCAACAACAAATATAAGACAATGTTTGAGAACCTTTTTTTTTTTTTTTTTTTTGCTACAAAAGAGCTAGGGGACTTACCAGAGTGTGAGCGATAATTAGTTCTCCAGTGAACTACCATCGAATGCATGCAACTAACTGCAAGTTCAACAGGATTGTTGTTAGTAAAATCAATGTTCCCGCATAGAAATTTATGTCAACTACCGTGAATGCATACTCTTTACCTTACGATTTTTATAGTTGTGACTAGTTTAAATATTGTGTGTTACATTTGTATGTCAACAAATTAAAGGGAGTACATAAGAATAAACTTTATCAGGTGGTAAGGTGAATGATCCAACTTAGTTGTACCTAGTCGTTATGAACATAAAATTTGGTTGTCGTCATGAAAAGACAGAGCATGATAACAGGATTTGGCTCGAAATGGCTAGCCTGAAAACTTACATAGAGCTGTCAAAAAGGTATAGCATGTTGTTTGATGTTGTTGGCTATCTTCCTTTTTTCGATAAATCATTGTGTGGGTGATATTATTCTTGCATTTGGGACAACACAGATCAATTCCATCTCGTTCCAGAGTTTCCTTGAAAGCTTTTGGGCTAAAATCTGCATGTTTGAAAGTTTTATCAGCAAGAACATACTTCAGTAGTAATAATTAGCTGTTAGTTCTATCATAAAGCACTAGCTAACTTAACTTCCTAATACAATAATACTACTTCTGTCTTAAACATTATCTTACACTTAGATTAATTATGTGTATTAAGTAAAATCGTAGGGAAATTGGTTAAAAAAATATAGTGAATAAGGAAATTGAAAGTGGATACAAAGAGAATAGTACAGAATTGTTAAGAAAATCAGTCGTTGTGAAGAGAAAAGGAGTCGTACATGATTGATAGGGATAAAACTAGTACTCGTAGGAGAAAAGCTAGGTTTCACTTCACAGGAGATGCACATTTTATTTTGTTATAGGTAAAAGATAAATTCGGCCATTTGGGACATCTCAAAATAGTATAGTGAGTGATAAAATTTGGACTGAGTACTTGCATGTTAGAGTTTATTACCAAAATCCGAGGAAGACATTTGTATGCGTACCTTGTTCATCAGAAAAGCTTCCGACTCCCTTGTCTTGGACTTCAACACTAACATCCTCATAAGTGGAAAGATCATCGTGTTCAACTCCTTCACTATGGATTTTGCTATCATCTAAATGCAAGCTTACATATATCTAAATTAGTACATTTTAAGGGATTTATAAAATTTCCCACAATTTAATTTGAATATACCTTGTTTATTGTCATGTTCAATGTCCAAGACTTCATCTTTGGCACTATTATTCATATTATAGCTATCAACACTTGCACCTTTAGTGGCATCGGCTTCGCTCTTGCAGTCTTCTACTAGCATATGCTGCATATCTACTGCATACAGTACATACATTCATCAGTTTATTTATTACTGTAGATCAGCTAATTTGTTTTGTTTAGGCATCTTCACAACACATTAGCATTAAGACCAAACCTTTTTTACTGTCAGATATTCCAAGAGCTTTGTCCTCAACCTCATCTTGGACACTGCCATCCACATTATAGCTAATATTATTTACATCTTCAGTTCCATTGTCTTCGCTTCTGCTATCTTGTACTACATGCAAACCAAAATAAAAATATCCTTAGCTTCAATCTGTTTACTCTACTTTTCAGGTGTTATGAGAATCTTCTCAATATACTTACATACCTAATTCATTGTCCTGGACTTCATTTTTAACACAGGCATCCTCGTTATCTGCAAGGATTTTCGCATCTATAGCTCCATCATCTTCATCTTTGCAATCTTCTGAACATATACCTACATATATTATTTCCATTAGTCTTACTATTAGTGCCACCAAGGATTTTATGGGAATGACTTCAGGCCACACCTGGTTCATTGTCAGATTTGTCATGATCTATGTCCTCAAATTTGTCTTGGACATTATCACCCACATAATCGCAAGCAATATCTGCATCTTTAGTTCCATTGTCTTCGCTTTTGCTATCTTCTATGACACTCAAATCTACATGTACATATATATATATATACTTTAATTAGTCTGGTCTACTTTTCAGGTGTTTATGAGAATCTTCAGAATATTCATGCTTCCATACCCTGTTCTCTTTCCTGGACTTCATTTTTGACACTAGAATCCACAAAATTCTCAAGGGTATCCTCATTTGTAGCTGCGATATCTTCTTTTTTGCCATCTTCTGAACATAGACCTACATATATTTTGTTTAGACTAGTTTTTAGATGTTTATGAGAGTATTAACAATTGTACATGTTTGCTTGTTACCTTGCTCATTGTCGGTTTTCACATCTCCATTTCCCTCGATTTTATCTTCAACATTAGCATCAATAACATCTTTACTTTCACTTTTGCTGTCATCTGAATACATATAGCAACATATATGAGAATGCAAATGTAGATAATTATTCAAAGGCACCATATATATTGTTTAGACTAGTTTTTAGAGGTTTATAAGAATCTTAATAATTGTATATATTTGCTTATTACCTTGCTCATTGTCAGATAATTTTGCATGTCCATCCCCCTCGATTTCATCTTCAACATTCGCATCCTTATTGCTTGTAAGATCAGCAACTTTGGCTCCTCCACTTTCACTTTTGCTATCATCTGAAGACATACCAACATATATGAGAATACTGCTTACATTGAAAGGGTGACTCCTAATTAAGAACTATTCAAAGACACCATATTGTTTTTCTCTATCTTATTTCAACATTAATTGCATTTGCATAATTCCTTAAATCATGAAGTAGTCCATGATAGAAAAAGAGCTAGTTATTAGATTGAAATTGCTTTTATTCTGCATCATCAACTTAGCTTCAGTATGTAGCTGTGTAAGAAAATTTTGAGCTCAATTAAATGGCAGAACTATAGCACACCAAGTTTGTCATACTTACTCGTACTTTGTCCGAATTCATTACATCTAAAATCTTCTGTATATGTTTGTGTTTCCTCAGCTTCATTATTAACAACAAGATCATCCAAATCAATAACAGCAGCAGGACTGGAATCTTCAGCTCCATCATCACCTATGCTTTTTTCGTCTTCTGATTGAAAACCTGTATTATATTTGAACATGTCTTTCATCCACGGGTTTGCACGCCAACTTTTCAATCCATAATTGACATCTTTACAAGAATTAGCATAATTGCAGTGATTTGCATACCTTGTTTATTGTCAGAGTTTCCCTGATCCTTGTCCTCAACTTCGTCTTGGACACTATCATCCACATAATCGCTAACAATATTCACATCTTTTGTACCATTACCTTCGCTTCTGCTGTCTTCTACTTCATGCAAACCTACATACACAATATTTTCATCTTCAGCTCCTCCACTTTCGCTTTTGCTATCTTCTGAAAACATGCCCATATCATCTGTATAAGTTTGGGAATCCTGTTCATTGTCGAAATCTGCATGTAATTCATCTTCTGGTTCATCATCAAAATCACTAACAGCAGCATGATTGGAAGCTTCAGCTCCATCATCACCTCTGCTTTCGCCGTCTTTAGATGACAAATCTGCATATTTGAACTAGTATTTCATCCAGGGATCTACACACAATATACTCTTCAATCCATTGTGTTTTTAATCAATTTTGAAGATTGAATCTTCTCAGAAATGTGACTTTACCAGTATATCAAGGGCTTGTGTTTTAAATCCTATGTACCATTTTAATTGTAAGGGATCTGTGTAAAAACTTGGTTCGAGTGTAGTTCGATTTCTTTGCCTTAGTGTAACACACATTTACAAGATTTACATGATCGCCATTAGCTTATTGAACTAATGGTTAGGCTGATGTTAATCATGTAACTTGTCATATTCTGAAGAGTCCATTAAATTTTGTTTGGAAAGTCGTGTTTGATGTCTCTGATATCTGGTAAATTTACTAACCAAACTAGCAGAACAATACTAGAAACTTTCAATCATGAATACCAACATATTGGAAGACATTGATTCCTTTAACTTTAGCGCACCAGTCATTTTATACAATAATTTACCAAGCACATGTATACAAATTGCTAATGTAACCAACTAGTCAAACCAGCTTATACAAACCGCTGATTGTCAACCACCGAACATGGCCTAAAAGAGAATTGGAAGAGTAAGAGAAGCTTGAGCCCATAAGGTTAATTTTGAAAAGTGGTTATATGAGATTTTCAGAATAGACGTCTGTAAATGTAATTGTGGAATGACAATTCTATTCTTAAGTAGGTCAAAAAATTTACCCTTTACCAATAATCTTAAAATTTTCATAACAATAAATTATTTGAACATCATTATTGGACATACCTATATCACACAATTAGCTAAAGTAGCTCAATTAACCAAATATTTTTTACGCAAACAGCCACTCCATACAATCAATTAATCAAACTAGCTACAATCAGCTTACTATTAATCACTAATTTTCAAACGAAGCCAAAACCTACTAAATACTCTCTTCCTTATTTTCTTGACAGTACGTTTTGACTAGACATAATTGTCAATACACATCTTTAATTAATGCCGCTTTTATAAATTTCGAGTTTAATATACGTGGAACATGTTTTTCACTATCCCCTTGTGTGTACTAGTACCATGGGCCGTGGCCCATGGTCCCATGGCCTTTAGGCTTTAATATCTAGCATTGGGTGCCTAAAATATTCCATTTTTCTATCCCATTTACAATACCACTCCAACCATGTGCACTAATCTATCCCATCATTATCACCCCCACAGAATCATCTGGTATCTCAGTATTATTTACTCTTCTGTATGGACTAGCATAATAAAACAAATTAAATATCACCGCACATTATTTATTTATTTTCATCCCATCATTAAAAGTAAATAAAATACTTCCAAAAATTAAATTCATTCATGTCTTTCTCACTCACCCGTTGACCTCCATGAATACATTTCTCTTTCTTCATTCTTCTTCAACATTTGATGGTGAGAACTTACATGTTTGTTGAATCACATATTCTTAAATATACAAGTATATCGAATTCTATCTAGTTACTCGGCCATTCAATTACTAGAGAATATAGCACATTTGAATTTTCTCTAGTTACTCGACCATTTAGTTACTAAAGAAAATTGCTACTCGCAAAAACAATGAAGTCGTACGTACCTAGAGTTGCATCGCTCAACTTGTGGTCAAGATCTCGATCATATCGTCTTCTAACCATAGTAGGTACGTGTTTCAGAACTTTATATTCGTACATTGGCAATGGACGAGCATCTTTTCCAAAAGTCATTTTTTTTTTTTTTTTTTTTTTGTTTTTTGGAGGATGGAAAATACGAAGTAGTGAAAGATATGAGGACAATTATAGTTGATGAAAACTGGCACTCACGAAAAGAAGATTGATAAATGTTCTTTTGAAGTCGGTAGAACAAGTATGAACAAACTCGAGCCACGCACCCAACACCGCGTGATAGGAGGGGCTAAATGCCATTTTTATATACAATCAACATATACAAGTATGTTTCACCAAAAAAAAAAAAAAAAAAACATATATTAGTATATAATATACTTATATAAATGCATTTTATTGATGTTATTTTTAAGTCGACATATTTCTTTTATCGTGTTTGTATAAAACATAATCCTATTTTAAAATTGTTAAATGAGTACAAAATCATTTTAAAATTGATAATTTGAAAAGACACATTCAAAACAAATCTAACAAGAAACTGATGGTTTACCTTACCCTTGCTATTAAGAGGGGTTACCGGGTTAAGCTTCATGTCTTGTTACTCCATATTGATCTAACAATTTCAATCGAAGCACATTTACAAAGAAACATAGACAAACAAATAGGGCTATAGATTATTTAGTCTCTTTAAGAATTGTAAGTCACATAAATTGTTCTGATAGCAAATTCTCTTTTCTTTGTTCTGATTAATTAGGTAAGAAACGGCACCTAATTAGTGAAGTCTGACCTAAAATAATACCAGTAAGAGAGTAAATTATACGGAGTATCATCCAAATTTATGGATGAAGTGACAGGAGTCGAGTGGACAACAAGCCTCAAAAGATTCAGATATAGCAACAATCATGTAAAATTATCACCACAGATTCAACTTGAATTGTGAAACTATTTTTAACAAAAATTACAGAATACATCTATGATTTATATTATTTCCAAACACTTATGACAAGGTAAGAATTATGATTAAGTACAGGGAGTAATAAGTGTAAAAACAATCGATAACTCGTCAATCAGAAGTAGAAAAAAAGGTACACAAATTAAAATGATAGATTAGATACTAGATGAATTGCAAAAAGTAATAAAAACATTCCATTTAAGGACAAATATATATCCCTATAATCCTTTCAAGAAAAAGTAATTCAGCCAAAAAAGCATAAAACTAATACAATGGTCACATCTCTGAACAAAACTTCGGCCTAAGTACACAAATTTTCTACTTGGGCTCAAACTAAACCAGCATCATAACTAACTGTCCCATAGTAACTTAAAATATCTAAAACACTGTAATACATCTGGCCGAAACTGATGTTCTCCATTTGCATAATATCCTAATCATCGAAGGTAGTCTTTTTTCCTGCATTCATCAGAATAAAAGAATTTTCAGATTAAACACGAACACCCACAAAATAACCCAGAACAAAATTCAGAAGATTTGGCGATGCTAGGAGCAGATTTTATTCGCAATTTATTAAGCAATAACCGACTTGTAATCATAAGTTCATAACCTCCTCTCACTCTTTCTGTGACATTATGGTTTTGAAGAGTTACCTGAGGCAGATGCAGTAATGCTGAACCCACCACGACCACCACGTCCTCTACCACCACGACCACCACCATCTCTACCACCACGACCACCACCTCCAAACCTTCCTCCACCACGTCTGTCACCAAACCTTCCACCACCACCATCTCTGCCACCTCTTCTCCCACCACCTCTTCCACCACTTCCAAATCCTCCACTTCCAAATCCTCCACTCCCAAACTCACGGGGTTCTCTTGGCTTACCCTCTTGAACATTCAAGTAACAACCTCCAAGTTCAGATCCATTTAGGTCAAAAGCTTTGTTAAATGCATCACTGTCTGCAAAATCAATATAAGCCACACTGCAGAGCACAAGAAAATACTCAGAAAGGAAACATCTTTGCCAGGAATGTAAAGAATGGTACAAAAAAGGCAGGCAGCAACACATGTAACAAATATTTGGATAAAAATATTCACACCAGAAATTTTAACATGGAAATTATATTCTTAAACAGGACACAATCATGGAATAATATTCAATAATAAGTAACCTGTAAGTCAGCAATAAACCCATATGACAAGATAACTATACCGGAAGGAAACAGATATGCAAAATAAGTTGACAAGAACTTGACGTCCATGAGAAATGTGGTAGAAACCTACTATCACATTCTCATGAATTATAAGACTCGCCAAGTATATGCTGTGAATAAAGGAAATTGAATAGTACTAAAGCAAATGCATCACAGCCTCAACTCAGATTAAATACAGTTCCAATCACCAACCCCCATAGTAATAACAAAAAGGTCCAATGAAAGCAAAGATGGATACAATGAGAGATGCCTGATGCTGATAATTTGGTTCTTGGACAAAAGCAAAACATCACACTAAGAACACATCACAACGAAAAACACATGATGCCTTCTAGTAAACAGAGCAGAATAATGATTCTCAGTACGTATCACCAAAAGGAGAACACTGGGTGTCTTCGGTAAAACAAAGCAGAAAAAAGATTCGTAGTACATACCCCTTAAGACACTGATTATCACGATCTTGTGGGATAGAACATCTTGTAATCTCTCCACACGAGCCAAAGAGTTCTTTCAAGGAACCCCTCATCTGCAAGCGGACAGTAAAAACAATCAAAAACAGTTGACAGACAATAAAAGATGGAAACAAAAGGAGAACAATGATACCTCATCCTCGTCAGCAGAAGTATCGAATCCCTTTACAAATATTGTAAGGTTCTGGCCTCCACCACCCTTCTGAAAAGAAGAGTTCTCTCTAACAAAACAAAAGCAATAAAAAATTATTAATAAAAAAATTTGTATATTTGAAGTAAAGATTAAGAATAAAAATAAACATAACAATACATACCGCGTGTTGGGAGTGTATGCACCTCTCTCACGAGCTAAGTCAAGCCTCACTGGGCGACCTAATAATTCTTGGCCGTTCATTTCTAGAGCCTGGAAAAAAATATATTCTTAGCAGAGTAAATGCAGCTTACTAGATATATTTAGAAAGTTGAAAGCACCATACTACCACAGTGAGGAATATGCATACACCTTTAGAAATTGGAATAAGAAAGTTTAACCAGAAAAAAGAATAACCAATCTTCTAATATACAAGTATAAGGAGTAATGGACTACATCTAATATTTTTTGCAAAAAATTACATTTGTATTTATAGCAGATTAACCAACAGCCAACAGCCATAGCATAGTAGTTGTAATACAGAAAAGGCCATCATATAGCAACCATACAGACGATAAACGGAGACTCACCTTTTGAGCAGCTTCTGCTGTTTCAAACTCAATGTGGCCATAGCCCTTAAATCTACCTTCAGGTTCGGAGGCAAATCTAATATCTACAATCTCTCCTGCGCTCTTGAAAAAATCTCGCCTGTAACAGCAATATGATTTGAGGAAAAATAAACTCAGCAATACAATACTAATCTTGAAATAAAAAGAAGAATACATACACATTCTGATCCTCAATATCAAATGAAAGATTTCCAGCAAACAGTGTCTTAGATCCTGTAGCTTGAACTTGTGGTGTTGCTGGTGTCTTAGGCTGAAAAAAGAAATAAACAATCAGGCCACACTAAAAACTGCAGAAGATTTAGCCCATTGCTGGATGAAATTAGATGAAGAACTATGTACGCACTGTTTTCAAGGCAGACTTTGTTTCCTCGGCATCAACCATTTCTACATCAGTATCCTGCAAGCAAACAAAGCAATTTAAATGAGATGATTCGACCAATTAACACACTTGGAAATTCTCAGATGGAATACGAAATATGAAAATGGCAATATGGGTTATGCAAACACAATTGGCTAACTACAAACAACACAGCCATAAAATCGTACAAATCATGCAAAAGAAACTCTTGTCATTTCCATGCCATTTTCCTTATCATCTTGTCATTACAAACAAACAATAGTGAATTCTTGTCATTTCAACCTGTTGGGAGAGGGAGTGGAAGCAAGACCTAGATCATTACCTTCTTTGGGGTCTTCTGCGGCTTCTCATCTTCACTCTCCTCATCACTGTCTTCGTCACTCTCATCAGAATCTGAGCTTTCACTTTTCTTGGGTGCGACTGTCTGTTATACAGAAGTATATGAACACTAATACACTACTGATGGCTTTTAATCAAAAAGGCATTAATTATTGGTAGCAGCACTTTACCTTCTGGGCAGGTTCATCATCAGAGCTCTCCTCCTCACTGCTACTACTACCTTTCTTAGCTTCTTTAGCGCCGTTCACAGCACTTGTAGCCTGCAAAAGTATATGTTAACTTAAGGTTCCAGTTGAAACAGGGAACATACAACAAGCAAGAAAACAACAAACAGGATCCAAAACTAATAGCAATGCTGAATCAGAGAACTAAAGAGCAACCATCAAAATACACATATCCTTGGGAGATTTTCAAAAAGCGTAAAATTAACAATAATAATAAATTGAACACTACTGTGTATTAAGACTCTTCTAGCTGCAAGAAATAATCGACTACTGCATTGCGAAAAAACTCTGTAAAAAAGATAAATTGAATACAATAGCCATCTGTTTTAAAATCATTTATACCTTTTTAGCTTTAGGCTCATCGTCACTCTCTTCAGAGCTCTCATCAGAACTGTCATCAGAGCTTTCAGATTCTTTGGCTGGTGTTTTCACATTGCTAACAGGCTTGGCAGGAACTACTTTCTGCAGTAACATAAATGTAGAGAAATTGAGAGCCAGAATTGAACCTTTCCAACTTAATACAGTTTATAAATTCAGAAGGCAAGCAGCTTCAAAAAATAAAAGTTCATTAGTACTCATACTAATTAAACCTATTGTTGTATACCTTCTCATCCTCAGAATCACTCTCTTCATCTGAGTCATCATCACTGCTTTCCTCAGTTGATTCAGCAGGCTTAGCCTTAGGAAGGGAACCATTCTTTGCTGCGGGCACAGCTTTAGGCTTGGCAGCAGGTTTAGCATTCTCCTATGTTATAGCCACCAAATTGAAAGTCAGCAGCAGCAATATAAAACTGGATTACCACCACATGGTAAAACAATCTAAGTGCTTACCTCATCATCTGAGGAAGAATCATCGCTGTCAGAGGAATCATCCTTCTTGGAACCGTTCACAGCAGGTACAGTTTTCTTTGTTGCAGGTTCATCCTGCAAACATAACCAACATCGGTCTCAGACTCTTAGCTATAACTAAAATTTTCATCTTTTTTCAGTGATACTTCATCAACAACTTACATCAGAATCACTTTCGTCAGAATCTGAGGAATCTTCTGAGCTGCTCTCCTGCTTGGCTTTCTTGACAACAGCAGGGGCTTTAGCTTGTGGCTTTTTCACAACAACCTAATGAATTATAAAATGTCAAATAGTTATAAAACAATTGCAAAGTGTACATAAGTTAACAATATAATAATTATACATAGAATATGAGATCGTCAATCTATAGATATACAAAAAAACATATACAAATATATAGCCGAACAATACAACGGCTGCATCTATCATGCTAAATCTTTCATGCTAATTATATTGAATGATAGAGCATCAAGCTGCTACATTTGAAGGTATATAATACTACAGAACGCACAAAAAAGCCAACACAAATGTTGGTCCAAATAAACCCTATAAAACTAATAGCTAATAAAATATTTGATCCAAATCATTTATACACAAACAATAACATACACCTACCAATGATACTATACAATAAAAACATTCACTAATTCAAAAGTAATTAGATCATATTACTTGCAATTACCAATAAGTACCTACGATAATTAAAAATATATATATAACAGGCGAAATAAATAAAGTATAAATCTTTAATGTTTGTTTAATTCAAAAAGGAGAAACATTCACCTCTTCCTCTGAATCAGAACAATCATCCTCAGATTCGCTGCTGCTACTTTCAACTTTCTTTGGCTTCTTCTTCTCAGCAGCCTTCTGCTGAGCTATAACAGCCTCATTCTTCTCTATCTTCTGCTTCTTCGCACTCACAGCCTTCTCAATCGCCTCTTCTGCGCCTCTCTTGCCTAAAACCCCAAAATCAAAAATCACTTCAATTTTCACAATAATCAACACAAACTATAATCGAAAACAGATAATAAATGACGAGAATCAAAAAAAAAGCCTTAAAATTAAAAAATCAGTTCAATTTTTACAATAATCAACACAAATTAAAACCAAATTCACAAAAAAACGAAGAAAAATGAGAAAATTAAAACCAGTTCAATTTATACAGCAATCAAAACAAATTAAAACCAAAAATCAAAGAAAAATAAAAAGTTAAATTAGAACCTTTCTTTCCAGAAGGAACGACAGCAGCAGGAGCTGCATCAACCTGAAACACGAAAAACAACAACACGTTAATTCCATTCAAATCAAAAACAGTAAAATTAGGGTTTACGAAGGAGATAACAAGAGAGAAGACGAACTTTGGTAGCGGATTTCTTGCTAGACTTGCCCATGGTAGAAGAAGAAAGGGAGGCTTGGAACGAAATTAGGGTTTAAGGGAGGAGAGAGAAAGCTGCAAAACCCTAAAATGAAAGGGTTTTACGGCAGAAAGAGAGATGGGAAATGAGGAAGAAAGAGAAAGAGAGGTTTTATAAGAGAGAAATAAAAAGGATATTTTGGTAAACAGGAAAAAGAAGACGGGGGCTGACAGCGAAGGTAGGAGATTAGGGTTTTACGAGTGATGAGATATTTTTGGGGGGGTTTTGTTTGTTGTAGTCAAGTATTGACCTAATCACTTGCTATGCTATGTGAGTATGTGTCCACGTGCTATTCATCACATTGTATCAAGGTGAAGTGGAACCACCAGAGGACTAACTAGCTAGTCGATGGCTCGATGCTAAAGGATTGCTAACTACGGAGTATGTCTAGAGGCGTTGATTCGGGTTCCTGAGTCGGGTTCAGTAAGATCAAAATTAGGTTTATTTTAAATTTTGGTCAAATTGGGTCGATATGGTCAACTTTTTTAACCTCTAGTTTCTCTCGTGGTTTTTTAAACATGGAATATATGTTATGATACGACTTTGACTATTAACTTAGGTGATTACTTATTAATGAGATTTATTTTCAGAAAATTATTTTAAAGAGTAAACATTGTAACTAATAACATGCGAGTCCCTATAAGCATTTTTTGCATATAGGAGGGAAAAAGTGGAAAAGCGCTGAGGTTTAACATCCAGAATGGTACTTTTTATGGTTACAGTGGTACATTTTTTGTACTATTATGCATGTATATTGTACCATTATGTCTTAGTAGTACTATTATTTCTCACAGTGGTATAATATTTTGATGTACCATTTATATACTTATTTGTACTATTAGCATAATATTTATACCACTACAACATTTAATGGTACTATTTACCTATTAAATGGTATTTTATACTCCCACTACAACTTCAACTTTATTACTACATTGACATCCTATATGCAATGTTTGCATATAGGAGCTATGCGCCAGACCTTCTCCATAACATGCTATAAGGAGTGTTATATAATTCAGGGTAAATGAATCTAGCTTATCTTGTCATGTGCTCACAGTTTCTTTGATGTCCTAGCACAACAAGTTTCATATGAGGCAACCTCCCTATGCATGTAAATCTTACATATTGATGCATGTGTTTATGGTGCGAGTTAGTGTCATTGCGTGTTGTTTTCTCTATTTATTAGTTCGTTGCGCATATGAGGAAGACTCGCCTGGATCAAAGCCTCAAGGATACAGGCGCCGCACGGGCGATGTACGCTCGTCCCATGACATACATGCATGTGTGAATGTTGAAAAAATATGAAACTGTAACACTTTATAAACAGAGGGATTGGAGCACTTGCAAGTGACTACATTTAAGGTATTTTTTAGGATAAAAGGTTTTGTTCATTTCATTTGAAATCATGTGTTATTGTCTAATTTTATAGTCTAGTTTTTATCTTTATTTTTCTAATCCATTTTGGTGTGATTTGATTATTTAATTTGACTAAATTTTGACCTTAGATGTGCGTTTTAAAATAATATTATCGACTATTCGATTGGGATTTTGTTAGCTTAATAATTTAATTTTCATTTTCTTACAAGTACAAAATTAAATACAAACTATAAAGAGCAAATGGAAATAGAAAATCTAGTCTGACTTGATTTGGAAATTTATGATGCTGACAATTTTTTGCAAGAAAAGTAATAAGTATAAGATTAAGGTGAAAAGAACATGATCTAAAACTTTAACATTATCTATACACTAATGTTTAAAATTAATCATAGTCAAGCCTCATTTTGTTAAGTTTTATTTACACATGATTACAGAAATGTAGAAATAAGTAAATAAAATGTAAAAGTTTCTATGTTCACTTCACTTAATTTGTATTAAATAAGTTGTATGTGATACTAAACTATAAGCTCATTATGTACTGGTTAAATTGAACTTATTCGTGTAAATGTTGTAACTTCCAAAATGGGCATACAAAGGTGATAAACGTGAGTTTCTATCATATTGTTACAATGTAAGATTATATAGTACTCTGTATTTATTAGTCTTTGTAGATCAAATAATTATCATAGTTGCAGAAGTTGTTCCTACAAGCATGGACAACAATATGATGTTTAGTTCATAACGAGGAATTGGTAGGTTTTGGTGTGACTATAAGCTAAGTTGGGTGGGAATGGAAAGACATAATCCGCTAAGAGCATTTTAACATATAAATAACTGAATCCTATTATGATGATATCACGAAGGACGCTAAACATTGTGTGTTGTCTTTCTTCCGTGAAAATGAGTGTAAGTGATCTAAAAACTGATTGATTTAGGTTTGAATTGCAATATGTGTTACCACCTCAATCGAACTTGTAACTTACTATCCTAGAAAATTTGTAAGATTTAGTATTCCATTGATGATAGATTTTTGTAACGTTGGTTTAAAAATTAATCATATACATTGAAAAGTGTTGTAAAATAAGGTGTTTAAATTTCAAGGCTACGAGAAAGAAGTAGACATAACAATAAGATTGAAAAGTTAATCTTATAAACAATGGAATAAATTCGGTATGTCGTGATGGAATCGTTGTACTCAATTGTATTCGGCGGCACGTTCCATAAGGTTCACACACCACGCACTCTCACATAAAGGCACCTTTGGGTGAGAGGTTGGAGTCACATAAACTTATGCCCAAAGAAAATGAAATGTGTTTAGCTATTTTGGTATGTGTATATTATAATCTGATTTTCTCCAAGTCAACATAAAAGTTGATCAAGGAGAATGAAGAGGTAGAGGAAGCTCAAAGATCAAGGGAATAATCAGAAAAATAAAGTGGGGTTAAATCCCCTTAAACACCCTCATAAATTATGGGAGTTACACATCAAAGAGAATCCAAGAAAGAAGAGAACAAAAGCCAATAAAATGAATCTCGGCATGAAAAGTCTACTCCACAACCCACCCGTAAGCAAACATAATAGGCCACAGCCTACTGGTGGAGTAAACTGATCAAGCTTTAGAAAAGCAATAATCCAACCAAAAAACATGTCTTTTACTCTCTTTACTCCAACAAAAAGTATGTTGGTTGAGGAAATCCCTGCCAACAAACTCTCTATATAATCATATCCTTTGAAAGTGTAGGGCTTTCATTACTCATCACGATTGGGAGATCACTACTAATCATGGGGTTAATTTGGATTAAAAGGTGGTGGTAGCTGATGGATAGAGGATGTCCTGAAGGACCTTTATGCTGTTTTTATTGGATCAAGGGACCTTTAGTGGCATGGCCAAGAGTGGTGCCGAGTTCAAGGATTAACTCTTAGCCTTGTTTGGCTTAGTTCTTTATTTGTTTTTCGTTGTTTTGTTTATGTGTGTTCTTTTAGCTGTTTTGTTTGTTTCCTTTGTTATGGGGCTTAGTCCCTCTCAATCACAAAAAAAAAAAAAAAAAAAAGAATTATAGTTTTGATTTTCAATCACTTAGTATCAATTTTTTTTTATTATTTTTTTATTAATGTGTTAAACCAAAAGTCAAAGCATGTATTGACTATTGAGCCACTAAGGTTATATCTACTTCATTTGATCTCAGCCTCTTAGGACCTTATTGCTTATTTTAGAATTGGTCAGAGTACAATAAGTTCAAATCTACTTTATCATTTTATGTGCAATTTTCATCGTTCTATATTTTTAGTTTCGTAATGAAAAATTATGAAAAAATAAATTCAAATTTGTACAAATCATATAAGACCCCAGTTGATTTATTTTGTCATTACAAATTAACATACACATAAGATCATAGTTTGGTCAAATCAGACAATCAGATGAGGTCAAAGTTTAAATCAAATCATATCATATTTGAACAAATAAGTTCAGATCCGATTAGATAATAAAAAATAAGGTGGTCAAACTAAACATAGCCTAAACTTTAGCATTTTCTTTTGGACGTAAAGCTAGAGAGGAATATTAATTAGTAGACGAATTGTCCATGAGTACATATGGAGTGATATCTTCCGGACGATGATTGACCCAAACTTGTTCAACCCCAAACGGTACTTAGTTTCCCAATTTATTTAATTTTTTGGACTTGCCTTGCCAAGGCAACATCAAAAAGTGGATTTTGCAAGTGTGTTTGGTTATGTACTTAGTGTTAGATCATCACATATATTAGGCCTTATGACTTGTACATATGGTTTTGGTTTTCGATTGGGTCGAAGAAAAAAAAAAGACTCATTTCCCCCCTTTTTTTTCCAAGGCAAGGACAACACAAGTTACTCAATGTTGGATCATGACAAATACGAAGCCTAATGACTCGTAACTCATGGGCTAAGTATTGTAACTTGTAAGTGCTATTTTGCATTCGCAGGATTCTTTTATGTTTGTATTAAATTGGTGCTAGAGGGTTGTAGTGTGTTTTGATCTAAGTATGATTTGTCAACTTGAAAAATACAAATACATTGATCTACTCTCAAGCCTTACACAAGGCCAACTTTGATTAGGTCATCCAATTTTGGGCATGATTTGAGTGTTCGATTCTATCAATTTTGAATTTAATTTTAGTGCAAGTCAAATCATTTAATTGGGGTCAATTTATCGAGTCTAATTACCAATACCACAGTACATGCCATGGACCATGGTGCACACAATTAGAAAGTGGATTGAAAGGAAAAAGAAAAAGGAATATGACAAGTCGAAGAGTAAACTTCATTTGCACTATTGCACCATAAAGAAGACGTTAGCAAATTTAATTGAAAAACCCAAAAAGAATAAAAAGAAAAAAGAGTGAATCGTGAAGAACTAATTAGAAACTTCCCACTAGAAAAACCCAATTGTTGACCAATACTCCCCAAATTTTTTCATCAAAATTTCAAAGAATCACAAAACCCCATCAATCAAAATCATCATTTTCTGGGTTTTAATTGGCGGGTTTTACGGAAATTCGTGTAAAATTGATTACCCAAATGGAGGATCAGCTGATATCTCCGGCAGATGTTCATGGAAGTCCGGCGAAAGAGCAACAAGCAGCAGGAGTTGGAATTCTGCTTCAAATTATGATGTTGGTTCTTTCTTTTGTACTTGGTCATGTTTTGCGTCGCCATAAATTTTATTATCTTCCTGAAGCTAGCGCTTCTCTTTTGATTGGTATAATTCTCCCTCTTTTGATTTATTGAACTAGGTATTTTTCTATTAATGTTGCAATGTGTGTTGTGTTTTGTCGATTTCGGTTCCTATTTGCATGATTTTGGCCAAAAATGGAGTGTCCTAGTGTTGTTGTACTTGTATCGGAGTGTTGAGTATTTGATACGGGTACTTGAAGTGAAATGAAGAGTCGGAGTAGCATATATGATCCCGGGGTTTCCAGACATTACAATTAGTAGTTAGTTTTCGATGTTTGCTATTGATGCTTGAGCTGGGTGTCTGTTATTTATGTTGTAGTTTTTGGTGATCCCATTTAATCCTTTTTGGTTTCCTTTTATGCCTGATGTTTGTTAGAATGAAGTGTCTAAGTGTCATATCCATAGATGATCATGGGGTTTCCGGATGTGTCATATCCATAGATGATCATGAGGTTTCCGGATGCTTTTTAAAAACTGTAATTGGTAAGATGGTGCATTCAAGAGGGGGGCGACGAGGGGTTTTGGGCGAGGACATTTTGGGTGAAATTAGGTTAAAATGCATCTGTAATTGAAAATTTACATGATCACATGCATCCTAAAGCAGAAGCTAATTGCTATAAACCTTGTCCCTGTATGATAATTCTATACTTAGGGCGGTATCACTATCTGTATAACTCTTTTGAGGGTTATTCTGATTGAGTTTTTGTTGTCAATTGTCATACAGTGAATGTGATGGAAACGCAGGTTCACATTTGCAAATATTATGGTGTTTTCTTTGTTAATTATCTGAAAGTGTACTAATTGTGGCTGACAGGTTTAGTTGTTGGTGGACTTGCTAATATCTCTAATACAGAAACTAGCATCAGGTTCTTGTTACCTTATTTATAAAACTGTAGTGATTTCTTCCTTTTTCTTCATTTCACTGACCTATTTTTGTCCAAACTGCAGGGAATGGTTTAACTTTCACGAGGAGTTTTTCTTTCTTTTCTTATTACCGCCTATCATATTATATCCTTTTGTGCTTTTAAACCAATACCTATTCATTTGGATTAATTTGTATTATTTCACTTCATTTGTGTAAGCTGTGTTTTAGTTATTGTTTTCCTTGACTCTTTTGTGGCCACCCAGTCAGGGTTTATTCTTGCTCCTGTGAGTCCTGATTCTTTCACAATCTTCTAGTTTAAACATTTGACGATGCAACAATGATACATACATATCTAACCATTATATTGTGACTGCCAGAAACCATTCTTCTCAAATTTTGGAGCCATTGTTACATTTTCTGTTCTTGGAACCTTTATAGCCTCAATTTTGACTGGCCTTTTGGTGTAAGCATCTTTTTTTTATCCTTATTCCATGTGATTATGACTATGTTGCTTTGTGCATCTGCTCATGACTTAGACTGCTGTTCATTTCTGCTATAGGTATCTTGGCGGGGTCACATATCTTATCTACAAACTCCCATTTGTTGAATGTATGATGTTTGGAGCGCTGATAACATCAACTGATCCTATAACTGTTTTGGCAATATTCCAGGTGACTCACTATTTTGTTTCTATTGCCTGCTTGATAGGTTAATAGGTTATCATCCTTTGTTCCTTTTACATTGTTATGTATGTAAATGGATAATTCCATGCTTGTTACTTGAAATTTATACGTGAAAAAAAAGGACATGAGTTAACTAAACTAAAATATCGAATATAATCAAATAAAATTTAGACATCATGAAAGTTAAGATGGGGTTAAAGGGTTTAAGCTAAGTCGGAGTAAGACTGAATATTTGATATGTTGCTTTGGTACTCAGAGGGGGGCAAGGGATGAAGTGGTGAGTTTGGATGGAAAGGAATTGACCATGAGTGAATGTTTTAAGTATCTTGGGTCGATCATCCAGAAAAATGGTGACATTGATCAAGACGTGGCCCACGGGATTAAGTCGGGGTGGCTTAAATGGAGAGCGGCCACAGGAGTGTTACGTGACCGAAGCATTCCCTTAAAGTTGAAGGGAAAATTCTACAGGACTGCCATAAGACCAGTATTGCTCTATGGTAAAGAATGTTGGGCTTCTAAGAAGAAGGATATTAAAAAGATGGAGGTTACAGAAATACGCATGTTAAGGTGGATATGCGGGAACACTCTAAAAGATAGAATCACAAATGAGGTTATTCGCAAGAAAGTAGGTGTGGTAGGCATTGCAGACAAACTAAGGGAAAATCGCCTGCGTTGGTTTGGGCATGTAAGACGGAGACCCGAGGGTGCACCGGTTTGAAGAGTGGAAGAGTGGGACCATGGAGGGGTTAAATGAGGAAGAGGGAGACCGAAAATGACTTGGTTGGAAGGAGTTCGGAAGGATATGAAGTATATGGATTTGCATGAGGATGAAGCATTGGAACGTAAGGGATGGAGGAGGAAGATTTTTGTGGATGACTACACGGAATAATCAAATTTGGTTCATGTAGCCGACCCCACTTATGGGATTAAGGCTTTGATTGATTGATTGATTGAAATAACAGTGCGTGGTTGAAAATGAGTGTTAATTGTGTTAAAACTGCAGAGGGTGCAATATTTAGGGAATGGAGGAAGTGTATAGTATTAAATAGAGTAATGTAGAAAACAAAAATCCTCAGCGGACTCGCTTTAGTAGTAGTATGTAGATGAGGAAATGTATTAGAAAGACACCAAGGGGGTAACACCCATTTAGATTAAGAGGCAAGGCTCAGAATAACAAACCCTTAACCTCAAGGTGTCGCTAAGCATAGGGCAGCAGGAGAGTAGAATAGTCCTCAATGCAAACTAGTCTACTTGTTATATAGCTATGTTTTACCATGTTTCTAGAACATCTCTGATCCAGCCCTAGTGAACCTAAAAGACCCCAAACGAACAAAAGCTTTAGATGTCATAATGAGGTCACCAAAGGGCTAATAAGTAATAGTTACTCTCCTGATTGCTTTTTTGATCACAAAGGCTGCACCTACTGGGTTTGCTGAAATACCTTCACTTTAGAACGTGTTCAGTAAAAGATTCCTTTTTATTGCTTCCTAGTACAGAAGATTGCTTTGCGAGGAGCCTTCAGCCTCTACATAATCTGTCAGAGCAACTAGAATATTCTTCCCCTTCCAGCAATATACTGTACGTTTTAACTGAGATTCTGAGAACACATCATTGTACAGTCCATGCCATCCTCACCTCTGTAATCTGTATGTGTGTGTTTGAATCACTTAAGGTGAAGAGAACTAAACCTTAGTTTCTCAATTGCATGGATTAAGTTCTAATGAAGCTTCTTCTTAGGAAACTTAAGTTACGTGTACTTAGTGTAGTTGTGATTTTAGTAGAATCCCCATATAATATGATTGACAAATTGCACATTCTCTCCCGCACTCTTTAGTAGGGGCATCTGTTTAAAATCCAATAGTTAACCAATTACTATATTAGAGAAGGTGACAATATCAGACCATTGTTTTAAGGAGGGAGTACTTGATATCACTCTTGTGTCTTCTCTTTCTCTCTCAGCTTTCTCTTTGTTGCATCCGTCTATTTTCTCAGGATATGTTCGGAATTTTTTTTGCTTTCAGGAACTTGGCACAGATGTGAATCTTTATGCCTTGGTTTTTGGAGAATCAGTTTTGAATGATGCGGTAAGTTCTTTTACCCGATCTATGTATGATCTATTGACATAGATTTTGTTTGGTTTGTCTACTGCTTGATAATCACTAATGTTCGTGATTTTGGCAAAAACTTATCTTCTCCTTGCAACACAAATTGCAGGTTGCAATTTCCCTGTACAGGTGCGAATAGTTGATTTTCCGTCTGTGTATTTGTTATGCTCAGAGGGTGACAATTAATAACTTCAACTGTGTTGCCCTTTTTCAGGTCAATGTCGGCGTTGAAGGGTCAGTCATCAAGTCAGAATGTGTTCACGTTCTTCTTGAGGTTTATTGAGACTTTTGCTGGCTCAATGTCTTCAGGTAGTTCTATCACATTTATCCCTTGGTGTTTGATGAAACTATATTATATTCTTCAGATGGTGAATCAGAAAATTGCTGTCATGTGCGATTACTTAGTTTTGGTTTAACTTTTGCATAAAGATTTTACTTTAGAGCATGCAAAATCATGGTAAAAAAAATTTATACCATCCTCTCTCTTTACCATTTTCTCACTCCTCCACATCATCTATACCACGCCATGAATTTTTTGTGCTAACACTTCACCACACTCATGAACAATTAAAAAAGTTACACATCCTTCTCTCTCCTATGACCCACTCCCTCTGTTTTCTTTTAATTTACTCACTTTCCTTTTTTGGATGTTATTTTTTTAATTTACTCACGTACAACTTAATATTTTTAGAAAAGGGATCCACCACTTTTACTCTCACAACTAATATTTTTAATTGTCACTTTTACACTTTACTTTTTTCTCTCTCCTAACTTTAAATACAATTCTTGGTTTTCGTGAAAAGAGAAGTGTGTAAACTAAAAATAAAAAATAAAAAATGGAGGGAGTATTTGTTTTTTTGGTTTCAAAATTTGTTAATATGGGTGTCTATTGAAAGCTCTCAAAAAACCATGACTATTGATATTATTATTCAAATCTTTTATAATAATTAATCTTAAAGAAAACATCTGTAATTTTACAATAGTAGATTATGCATGGATTGAGATGGTATACATGGTATAGATTTTTGCCAATATCATCGCATGGTATAAATCATACCATTAGTGGGCATGCTCTTAGGGAGTCCATGTCTTAGGAGGAGTCTATTTACTCTACATTTCTCAGCCTTCTTGCTTTGGCCATCTTTTTATATTTGCTAAGACCTTGGGAGGTAATGATATCTGTATGGATTTTTTAAAAGAAACTTTAATGCTGATGTCCAAGGAAATGTAATTATATCCAAGTAATTTTTTTTATTTGCAAATTTCCCACATTACCATTAAGAGATTTGGTATTGAGTAGTAATGAAAATTTCTTTGGCAAAGCATATACTTGGGTGTCTATAACTAAATTTGACATATGTTACTAGACTTGATTAATGTTTTGGGTAACCCATTGGGTATAGAGCTATGGTCAAAGTTACAATGGCTTTTATTGGAAAAAGTCTCTACTCTCTACTGGATAGGGTCTTTATTGAACATTCAATAGGTTAAAAATGGTAACCCAATAATTTGTAAAAGAAAACAGGATAAAATAACATTACATGTTAAGTTTTGAATACACATGTGCTTAATCTTGTCTCTCTCCCTTGTTATTTTTGCTCGATTGTTTATTGGCCTTCCCACTACCTACTTGCTTTGGCCTGGCTCATTTAGACCTGTTACACTTATGACCCGACCTGACCTGCACTGACCCCCAATATTGAAGTCTATTTTGAACTTATTATTCTGAAGTAAGTGAAAATAAGCTGAAGAGACTTAGGTAAAGATATACTACCATGAGACTTTCTTGCAAACTTACATATATGTCAATTTCATTGCCACCATTTATTGCCCCCTACCAACCAACTTGTTAGTGCTTTTCAAGTGTGGAATGTTAACTTATAGTTTTAATCTAAATTAATTAAACAGCCTTAATGGTGGTTATAGCTTTGTCGCATCTGTTGAAGATAGATCAAATATAGATTTGGATGGTAGCTTATATATATTGTACTCTCTTATATGGAAACAGTTTTACATTATTCCCATCTTCTCATAACCGATGATTTATCCTTACATTACAAACATCCCTTTTATAATAGTCATTTAACTCGTGTCACAGCCAATCCTCTTTGCATCACTCCCTTTCAGTGGGGATATCTTGTGAAATTCAGACTGAATTTACTTTTAATTTAAAAATGAGACCATATCATGGGAATATCTACATTATTATATTTGGATATTATATCTAGGTAAGGGAAACTCATTTTTTGTTTGGACTATTGTTAGCTTGACTGCTTGACCACACCCTAAATTTCAGTCTCTCCCACTGAAACTGCCTAAGTTTTTAGTGAAATCCAATTCAAGTGAATCTGAGCATTTAATTTTCTCTTGCAGGGGTTGGTGCTGGATTCATATCTGCTCTGATATCCTTTTAATAAAGTTTTTACTCTTGTGAACATTGGTCTCTACTTGATTTACTGTTTGGGTGGCTACATATTGTGCAACCTTGACTTCATGAACCTTTTCAAGTATGCAGGTCTAGATATTGAAAAGTGAGTGCCTTGACAACTTTTTTCTTAGGCTTTCAGATAAGAGCTGGAATATGTTCTTATGACACTTTTTGACATCACCATTTTTGGAACATCTTCTTTGCAGCCTTCAGAACTTGGAATGCTGTCTGTTTGTTCTTTTCCCTTATTTCTCGTAAGTAGTCCAATGCCTTTATTGCAATAGGGTGCCTCTTGGTGAAAGCTTTTTTTCTAGTGATGTTATACACATTTTAAGGTACATGCTTGCGGAAGGTCTTGGGCTCTCTGGTATCGTGTCCATACTGTTCACCGGGATTGTAAGTAGTCTAAGTAGATGCTCCTTTTATTTTTACTATACATTTTTTTAAAAAGTTCTATTTATGTATAGTCACTATAGTTTAAGTTAAAGATCTTTCTGAGGTTATATTTCTCTCTTTTTCAGGTCATGAAGCACTATACTTACTCAAATTTGTCCGAGAAGTCTCAACAATTTGTGTCTGGATTTTTCCATCTAATATCATCCTTAGCTGAGACTTTTATGTAAGAAATTTGATGCTGTTTAGATTGGTTTTTATTTGCTCGAGAGCTCTAGACATTTCTAACTTAGTCTTAACCTACAGATTCATATACATGGGCCTTGATATTGTCATGGAGAAGCATAGCTGGTCGCATATAGGCTTTATCTTCTTCGCAATTGTATCCTTCATAATTGTTTAAATTGTAAAAGGCTCATCTAAACAGTTAATTATTGGGCTTTATGTTCTCATGTCACTTTGCTGTTCCTTAACTTGGTTTGGTTTTCCAGATAACTATTGTGCTAGCCAGGTAATAATACTTCGTGTTTTTTTTTTTTTTTTTTTTTCCCCGCTTTATGTTAATCTTTTGATATAATTGTTGGTATCTATGATTGATTATTGCATATAAATTGTTTTGACACATTTGCTGTTTCTAAAGGTTGGAGACCACCTACAATTAGCTTCTCTTTGTCAATAATAAAATAGTTTAGTGTTGTCAATTATATAAGTTATAATTGTGCATCATTGTGGTTTATTGATATGCCTACAAGTTTAATTTGTGGCTAGAATACATGTAATGATGTAATTTGTACAACGGTGTAATGCTACTGTGTATGAAATTGCTGACAAGGTCTGCTATCATTTATGAAGGGCTGTCAATGTCTTCTCATGTGGATATTTGGTCAATTTGGTTAGACCAGCACATAGAAAGATACCAATGACGCATCAGAAAGCGCTTTGGTACAATGGTATGAGTAACAACTTTATGTTTGTTACCTTTTTATTGAAATTCAAATGTATGACATTACCCTAGTCAAAAGAAATGTGCATAATGCATTATACCCTGATCAGGACTTCGAGGGGCTATGGCTTTTGCTCTTGCTCTCCAGTCTGTTCATGATCTGCCTGAAGGGCATGGCCAGACGATATTCACAGCTACCACGGCAATAGTTGTTTTAACGGTAGGCTTTCTTACTCTCTCTTTCTGAACTACATGTTTTGACTTGACATTTAAACTTTAGAATTTTCTTATTCTAATGAGTGCTTCATTTTAAACTTTTTTTTTTTCCTCTTGTTCTTTCTCCATGGCCATTTCATCTTCGTCATCTTTGTTTTTTGTCCCTTTTGTTTCAGCTTCATTTTGTCCTGTGAATATTCTTTATTTACTCTGTCACCTTCTCCTCTTGGTGTTTTTTGATTCTATCTCTGTGTATGGACATAATAATTGGACATTAACAATTAAAGGCCTCTAAACTCCTATTTATGTGTGTCTAAAGGTAATGACCGATAGGATATGCTGTTTTGGCCTAACAAATATAATCCTTAGGAATACTAAGTTTATATATGTCAGATAATTTCCAACATATTTGAGGAAGTCATTAGAGAAGGTAAATGGGCAAACTAATTTAAAATAATTGTAACCGTAACAAGCTAACCCTTTCCTCTTATTGGTAATAAAGTTGTACTCCCTTCGTTCCTTACTATTTGTTACGTTTGGAATCTTTTTGTGAGAGAACTAAGGTCAAAGCATCACAAACAAAAAGGAACAAAGGGAGTAGTTTTTTTTTTTTTCCTGGAAAAATGGTAATAAAGTTATATAAATCAAATTGTTTGTTTACCTTCTGTGAATTCTGTACCAAGACTGTGTGTTGCCAAAAAAAAAAAGAAAGAAAGAAAGAAAAGAACAGAGGCAAATTGATTCATGTCGAAGTTCGGCTCAACTAAGCTCGGCTCTTTCGGTGGCTACCCTTAATTGGAGGCAATTCCCTTGTCAAATATGAAGAAGGCATTTTAAAGAATTTTTTTTTTTCAGATTGCTGCATTCCAGCTTGGGAGTTGCCTGCATTTTGTCCTTGTGTATTCATAGTTGTGAATTATGTTTGTCTGGTTTGTCTGGTTTGGAATGGTATATAAAAATGGATAAAACTAGGTTGATGTCGCCCACCCCCCCCCCCCCCCCTCCCCTCCCCCAACTACAACAACAAAAAATAATTAAAATAAAATTCAAAACATGGACTTTGATCTTGACTGAAATGTGACATTTGATTAACTCTTGAGATATGTCCTGCAGGTTTTGCTTATTGGTGGAACAACAGGAACCATGCTTGAATCTTTGCAAGTTATTGGTGATACCCCTGAGGGCCACCTAGATGTAAGTTTGAGTACAGAAATGCCTGTTACTTTCTTTGACATAAAACATTTTTTTATCGGGCGTTTCATTGTTTCGGTAGTCAGCAGTGGATCTTTTCTTGTTTTTCCATGTTTAAAGGGTGTGTGTGAGTAGGTAAGAATTGGACTCTTTTTGACAGGGGGAATATGAATTATTGAGTATCAATCAGCAGTCATTTGATATAAACTACTATATAATGATGGATGTGATCCTAGGCCGAATCATTGTACTACACTACTATGTTCTATTATCTGTTGAATTTTCACCAGTTTGCGAGTCTCATTATATGGTGTGTGTTGGATTATTCTCTGGCTAACTGGCTTGTTATATCATGCGGAGTACATGTGATGAATTTATCATGTTGGTGCTCAAACATTTATAATTGACATAATTCCTGTGTCCTTAGGGCTTCAATAGGAGCGATGGCTTTGTGTCTTCTGGCCAAGAAGACGAGGGATCATCTTCAAACAGATTTAAGATGAGACTAAAAGAATTCCATAGAAGGTAGTGTATAACGGCTCATGTACAAAAGTTTGTTTCCTGTTACAACTATTGCTCTTAATTCTAAATAATTATTTATCTCGTTAAAAAAACAAAATTGCAGCGCTCCATCTTTTTCATCATTGGACAAAAACTATCTGACCCCATTCTTCACTACCCAGACCGGTGATGAAGAAGAAGAAGGTAAGCATCATTCATTTTGGATTTGAGGACATTGAATTGAGTGCAAAATTTTCATTAGTTGTGTGAAGCATGCTATTTAACATGAAATTCATTGTATTACTTGACTGGTTTACATAAATCTAATTTATGGTGAAACAGAAAATCTGATGCTCACTCCAAGAAGAGAAGTCTACAGTACTCGTAACTGATTCATTCTTTTGCAATATAATGATGATTAATCAATAGAGAGTAGTCCTGACATGGTGGATCATGCTTTAACAACTGAAAGAGGCCATTCACAAAACTTAAGTTCCGTACATATGCTAGTGAGCTGGTTCACGCTAAAGCTGGAAGTAGTGATGTCCATTACTACTGTAAAACATGCATATAAACTGATTAGCTGGTTAGTTTGCTGATCATTGTCTGATTCCTTAAATTTTAGAGATCAGATGTTCCTTGTCAGAGTTTAATCAGGTGCGATGGATACCAAATTCAATGCATGTATAGAGATCATTTGTACTGAACTTCATGGCTGTCTCATCTCGTGTGTATCAAAGAAACAAAAAGAACATTTTTCCTTACAGTATAGTGTGGCATTCGTCACTTACAGGGTTACAGTTGCAAACTTGCAATAGATGAGCTTGATAATTGATAGCAATTCAATAGTTATTATGTAAGGAGAAATGAGTATGTTCTAAGTAGTATAAATGTTGTCGATCACCTATGAGTGAAATGAAACCTTTACTCGCAGATTCCACAAATGATTTGTTTAACACTTGGTAAATTTATATCCAATGAGTGTTATAATGTTATTTAGTCAATTATTGATTATGGTTAAACTAGTTTTATTAGATAGTCTGGAAACTTGGGATCGTAAATGGATTCGGATACCATTCTAATCGCCTCTTTCATGATCTTTTCTATAGGTAGAACTACTGTGAGCGGTCTAAACTTCGACCCTTATTTCATTCTTCATAAAGAAAAAATTGGCCCTTTCTGCTAAAAATACCTCAAATTTGGCTTGTATGTTACATATATAAAATTAAGGATATTTTTAATTTTAACACCTGATAAATATTCGAAAATGGTTTTTAACACACCAAAAATAAAAAGTTTTATTTTAACACCAGACAAAAACTATAAAAATGGTTTTTACCACCACTTAACTGATTCCGTTTAGGAAACCGTTAAGTGGGGTCATGAGCCACGTGTCGCTTTATTATTGGCCAAAAAAGAAAAAAACAATAAAAAAAAAACAAAAAAATAAAAAAAAAAAGTGAAAAAAACCTAAAACTACCCGGCCACCCTAGCCCCACCATCGCCCCACCACTGCCACCTTCTTCTTCACCTTGACCCACAGCCACCGGCGCACCACCCCCCCTCCCTCACCGACCGACCTAAACCCATCCCCACTCTTTTCCCGCAGCCCTAAACCACCCTAGCCCCACCACCACCATCACCAGGCACGAATTTATGGCCGTTGATTCGGCCATTGATGGCCGAAATCGGCCAGTTAAGGCCACTCAGCCCAAAAATCGGCCGATTTCAGCCATTAATGGCCGAATTCGTCGCCGTTTTTGGGGAAGGAAGGTTGCAGAAACGACCAACCCCACCACCCCTGAATCGGAAACAGCCAACCCCACCTAACCACTAACCCGATACCCAACCTCAGCTTCGAACACCCAAACTTCATCGGATTCCGAAACCCACCCCCTCCCAGCCCCCCGCCACCTAACTTAAAATGAATATCATTTTTTGGGCATGATTTCCGGTGGCAGTTCCTGATTTCTGGGCTGCGGGAAGGGAGGAGGAACCGGTTTTGGTTTTTTGGAAAGCGAGGGTACGCCGATTTCCGGTGTTAGGGCAGGTTCGGTGGCGAAACTCGGTGGCGGGGGCTGGGAGAGGGTGGTTCGGGAGTTGGCTGGGGAGAAGGGCCACCGTTGGTGGCTGCCTGCTGGTTGTTTGAGTTTTTTTAAAAAAAAATTATTTTTTTTCTTTTTGTTTTTTTTAAAATTTTTTCTTTTATTTTTTATTTTTTGAAAACAAGTAAAATGGTGACACGTGTCACTGTGGACCCCACTTAACGGAATTTTTGGACGAAGACCGTTAAGTGGTGGTAAAAACCATTTTCGTAACATTTTTCTGGTGTTAATATAAAACTTTTTTTTTTGGAGGTGTTAAAACCCATTTTTGAAATTTTGTCAGGTGTTAAAATAAAAAATATCCTAAAATTAATTCATACTTCGTATTAAGTTTTGTGATTGCTCAACTTATGTTTGGTATTATTGGATCAATTCATGGATGTTGATAACAAGTACGAGTAGTACTTGGTCTAATGAGATAGATTGTATCTTATAATCATGTGGGTTTAATCCTCACAAAGGGACAATTTGATGGTGGGGATTTCCTTACTCTTTCCCCTCATTCCCAAGGAGTCTTGCCCGCTAACCCAGATCGGGTTGACCTATGAGAGGCTCGAAACCATGACACCTTCCCCTAACTTGCCAAAAACAAAATAAAAAAATTCATGGATGTTGTATAATGGATAATATTATTGTGGACCTAAGATTTATATACACGCAACTGACATTATATTGAACATAGTGACCCTAATTTTAACATGTTTTATTTGGGGTCCTGTTGCATCGCTCACCTAGTGTCGGCCTAGCATCGGTGGTGTATTATTTGATGCAAGTAATATTACAAAATATTATATAATGTCAAATAACATTGTCATAGTATAATATCACCCATGCAAATTATTCACCCTTGCAAATAAGTATTATATTAGTGTAAATTAATATATTTGGTGAAACACTACTATAAAATTGTAAATCAATAAAATTTCATACAAAAATGATATGTACATATCGAATGAGTTCACCATCAAACATAAAAGTCATGAAGTACTAACATGAGGAAGGATAAACTCCAACTGGCCTAGATGGTACATGTCTGGATGAAAGTAGAATGGGAGAATCAACTACAGTTCTCTGATCTTCTTTATCAGCATTTTTTGTCCATATTAAAGAACCAGAAATCACACCAAAAGACCATTCATAATATTTGGTGTTAGGCAAACTCACATTCAAAGTAAATTGTTGTTCACAGTCCATATCATCAAATTCCAATATTTTCGGAACAACGCTGATGCTGATTGACTCTGTAGGCATGCGCATCGTAGAAGAATGAATTTCAATCTTAGCAGTATATGTACTTCGCCCTTTCTCAACACTTCTTAATTTTCTACTGAATTTAATAGCCCATTTTTCTTCACAATGTGGAGGAAATGTAGCTGAGAAATAAGGTAGATTAAGGTGAAAGTAAGGTGGATCTTCTCCATCAGACAAATAGAATCTTTCAAAAATACAATGTTTCTCCTCATACACCAGACCGGGTTGTCTTGCCCTTTTCAAATTAAACTCTCCTGCTCCATATGCAAACTCAAAAGCAAGATCTTTCCATGCATTTTGTTAGCTGCATAATAAAACAATGATACATAATTTAAAACAACATCAAGTTATATAATTGTTAAATCATTCAGTAATGATCAATCAGATACCACTAACAACTAGCACTAATGATCAGACTGAGATTGTGATCAATATTTCAGAAACAATTTGTAACCAAGTATACAAGAATAGCACTAATGATCAAACTGAGATTGTGATCAATATTTCAGTAGAAAAACAGTGTTGTAGAAGAAAAGTAAATGAGAGCAGAAAAATAGAGAGAAAAAGATTTAGAGAGAAAAAGAGGAATTATTTTCATTAAGTTAGGCAAGAATTAAACAGATCAGCCTTATATACAAGGACTGAAAGAGGCTAACCAAGCCATACAAAGCATCAGTTGACTTGCTGATGTGGAATTCTGTTATAACAGAATTCTATCATAATAACAAACTTTACTATGCACTAGGAGCTTGAGTGACTGTAGGCTTGATGTAGGTGCTCTGATCCTTAACAAGAGATGTAGTCTCAACAATAATGTAAATAAAATGAATTTTCTGTGAGGCTGGTCACACCATTAACTAATTGTGTGGCCACATGAATTTAATACAAAATTCACATAAAAATCAATTTTAAATTAGTAACACAAACACCAAAAATACAAAGTAATACTTCCTCTAAATACTTATAAAACTAAGTGATATAACACAATCATCTTAATCCACATAATTCAAAAAAGAAAAGGAAAATAAATAAATAACTAGCTACTACTTAAATCCACATACCCAAAAGACACATGCTCCTCATTGATTTTTGTGTTTCATCTTTATCGGGTTGTGGGAGATTCATCGTTGTTGTTCATATGGGGCAAGGGGTAGTTTTGCAATTTATGGGGAAAGAAGAGGAGAGAGAATTTGGTGGTGTCGTACAATGTGGGGAAAGATTAGAAAGAGAATGGAAAAAATAATGGAGGAAGTGAGAGGAGAAAAAATGAGGAAAATCACTTGGAAAACTAGATATTACCTGCCTTGTTCGGTCCACTGTTTCTTTTATATCTTTGTAGTATAGGCAGTATGCTGCTGTTTGTATTTTCTTTCATGTTGTGTTTCATAGTCTGAATTCAAAGAGACAAGAGCCATCTTGCACTCGTTCTCTTTTCATGCTAATTAATTGATGCTTCCAGTGGTTTTTTTACAAAAATATGCAAACTGAAAGCAAGTATTCATAAACTAGAGAAAATAACCCTTGATTTATTTCATTTTGGGAGGGAGCAATGAGAGTAAAAAACTTCATTTAGTAAGCAAAGAGAGGTTATACCAGCCAAAGACTAGTGTTGGTTAGGGATACGTAATTTGGAGACTATAAAGTATAAACCAAGCCTTTATGATGAAACTAGGTTGGAAAATGAGTCAAAACAACAATAACCTTGCAAAAGATTGTTTAATGGCAAAAAACTCACTCCAAGAAAGGTTCGGTTATTTGGCATAAAGGGGTGGCACCATCTCTCACATAATGCCTCTTGGGACTTGGGTGATGGGAATGTAATTTCTTTTTGGTACGATAATTGGGTAGGGATAGGTGCCCTTATGTAGATAATTTGGCCGGTTCTAGACTCCTGGATGCTCGGGTCATTGGTCAATTCTCATTAACTTAGGTTGCTTGCTGGTCTCCATAGGGGTTGGACCTCATCTCAATGATTGATTTATTTCCCTTCTCAATTGGATTCATGTGCAAAATAAAATTGTCTCTGGAGTATACAAGCTTTGGAGCTAAAGTGGGTTAGTCAAAAAATTCATTAACACAAAACATAGTTGTATGTACTATTTAGACTGTAAGAACCAAAGCAATTAAGAACGTTAGCACCTAAATGAAACTAGGGAAGTGAATGCCTAATAACACTATGTTTTAAAAACTAGTGGGTGCAACACGAACTAATTAGGCATTAAATTATTGCCCATCATGTACTGATGTCTCCAATCAACTACTACGCATGTATCATGTGAAAATATAACATTTGCAATTATTACATTACAAAAAAAAGTTACTACGCAAGCTTACCAGTAGTTATGGCTGCAGAAATTGTTGCAGAAACAGAAAAGTTTTTCTCCGCTTTGATCATAGCAAGTCCAGCAGCAACGAGGGGTGTTGCAAAAGAAGTGCCGGACAAGACATTATATGGAACAAAAAATGAATCCCCATCGTCTCCTAAAGGCACGTCGTCTGGCCAAGATGCAACAATATGCTCCCCTGGAGCGCAAAGATCAGGCTGCAAAAATCACCGGAATCAGTTATAATAATAAAAATAAAATCAACAATAAGAAAAATAATGTTAACGATAATAACAATAATAACAATAACAATATAATATTCTGATGCCAAGTAAGTTGATTACTAATAATATTTTAGTGGCCTATGAATGTTTCCATTACTAATAATGTTGAGAAAGCACAAGAGCTGCGTGGTGCTTGCTGTCCTGAAAAGGTGGAAGCCACCTGACATGGATACTTATAAAATCAATTCTGACGTTTTTGGGGATAATTCGGTTGGTTTAAGGGGGGTGAAGCGTGCGTGACCATGTGGGTGATGTGATTTTAGCTACTTGTGTTAAGGAGGGGCAGTTGGCATGGATATTGCAGAGGCTCTTGCGGCGTGTCATGCTTTACTGATTGCAGTGAAGGGGGGATGTCGAAGAGTGGTTCTAAAGATGGACAGTTTCAAGCTTTATGCAATCATCTGCAGAAAAGTTGTATGCGAGAATAGCATCTTGAGAAAAATTGTAGATGATATTCTACATTTGGCTGCTGCTGTATTTCTTACTCACATGTGGGTAGGGAAGGGAATGGGGTAGCTCACAAACTTGCTTATTTGAGTAGAATTTAATAATTTATACGGGAATGAGCGTTTGAGTGGAAGAAGGGATCAACGATTATTTTTGTGGAGGATTTTGAACAACGCCCTCCCTACAGGGCACAACCTAAAGAAACGAGGAGTTAAAACCAACGGAATTGCCTTATGTGCAGTTCTCAGGGAGGCCCAGCTATGGAGGAAAGTACGACTCATCTATTGAGGGACTGTCCAACGATCAGGAGAGTGTGGGCTGGAAGCAGCCTGGGTATTAGAACTAACAATGACAGATCCATTCCATTGGTCGATTGGATCACCGACTGGATTGCTTACCTTTAGAGAGAAAACAGGTCGGAGCACTCCCATTTTTGTCAATCTCCTCCAAGGTATCTGGCTTCAGAGGAACAAAGTGGTGTTCGAAGGAGTTTGTATTAACCCCCTGGGCATCATTCGAAGAGCGGAGTCGACAATCAATACAAGCTGGACCAGCCAACAAACCCCAATCCCCAAAATTCCAAGGAAAGACATGAAAGAAGGTCCTCCAGGTTTCGAGATTAAGCCAATTCAGATGATAATCGGTCATAACGAATGCAAGGAGGTAAGTGAATTCCAGATCAAGATGGGGAAAAGGAAAAAGGAAGGAGAGCGCATCGACATAATTTGGAGATTAATGAGACACGGACAAATTTTGCACGAAGAATGTTGAAGTAGATCCCACCAAATAACACATGAGTGTCCCACATTGATAGAAATTGAGAGTTGAGACCACAATATAAGACTAAGGGGCTACTCCGATCCCCTCATGGCCATATGGTTTTGAAGTGGAACCTCCTTGGTCTTGTGAAGTGGACTTTCTCTCTCTCTTGGTTGCGGGTGAAGCCCGTTTGACAAAGAATCGAATGCCTACCAGACAAAAGACAAGAGAAAATCGGTCCTCTTGAGTCTAAGCAAAGGGCTTAGAGTGGCGTCCAGATTGGGTTGCCTCACGAATAAAAAAGGAATTCATGAATTTTTTGATGACAACGCCCAACGTTTTGCTGCTTTAGGAGATACCTTAAAGGATTGTGCTTCTTTTCATTGTTTATCTCTATGTTACTCAGACTCTTCATTTTGCCTCAAACACCCGTGTCGGATCCTTGACACTCGGACATGGGTACAATACTTGGACACTTCAATTTGGGCTAAAATCTTGAAAAAAATTCAAAAATTAGCCGAGTCGTACATTGGACACGTACCCGTGTCGGATATGGGTACACGAGTCCGAGTAACACAGGTTTATCTTACTATTTGATATTAAATTGTAATCTTTTTAAGCACTGCCACAAAGACTGAGTTTCTTTGGTGGTCTTATCCTTTGTCAAAAAAAAGAGGGTTTGGGTGGAAGACATGATTTGATTTGCAAAAGCTGATTGAATAGAAGGAGGTTTATCATGTCCAAACAAAAAAACACATATCACTAATAATAATACATAGACACCAACAGCAGTAGCACCAACAACAACAATAACAATAGCAATATCATTAATAAAGTAACAATAATAACATCTAGAAAGAAAATTACCTTCATGAATTCTGTGTAAGTACGACATGGTCCACGGCCAGAAAAGTCTGAAACTAAAGGTGTACTACCAACTTCTTTCTCGACGAGCAATGGATAATAGCATAGAGTGACCTTCATATAACATATAATAATTTAAGAGACTAAGATATTGTGATGCTCTTTAAAATAATTTAAAGAAAATTAACAAGAAAATTGTTTTTAAATATCTCTACTATGAAACATTTAATACAATTTTTCTTAAAAAAAATACGCACCCATTTTTTGCAGTTACGCTTTCCAAATAGTAGCAAACTATATTACTTGCTTCTTTTGAAAGTAGGACAATTGGTTGTATGCTTGCACTATCCGAAAAATCTGAAGAGGGTTCAACTAAAATTTCCGAGTTTTTAAGATACATGATGCTTTGTGTATCTTGGATATCGCCCAACTTCCTAAAATAAAGTCAAATCATGGTTAATAATATTGTTAAATAATTACTCTATCTCTAAAAGCTAATGAGAAACCAAAAGCATGGTATGTGGAAAAGATTTTGTTATAACAAGCAAACTGAACTTGATAATGATGTATGATAAGTAGTGTATGACTCTACTAAATGACTACTTTAGTTTAACGCATCACATTCATATTACAATTTTGTCTTTATTTTTTAAACTTTTCTTGTTGGTCTGTTAAAAAAAATATACTACAAAATAATCTAAGAAAATACTGTAACATGCTAGAGGCAATTAGAGGAAGTTCTAGCTATAAATATCTTACTGACAAGAAAGAAATAAAAATGCATATAAGAAAATTCGATTACCTTACAGGTAGAAAATCATCATTAGAACTTGAACTTGAGAACATACTAATGGAGTACCCCTGATATAGATAACAAAGAAATAAATAAATGAAATAGGAAATTCAAATAACATGATTATACTATAAAAAAATTAATAAGTCATAAAGTTAAAGTACCTCAATATCTTCTAGCTCATAAAAATCTGTATCAGATACAAATTCAACTTTACTTTTGAATTTGGTGGTCGGGGTGCATGAAGCAACGGTTACGGTCCAAGGAGGAGTTTTTTGTATTGATTGAAGACCTAATTTGCCATAGTTTCCTGCTGATAGTACAATGAGGATATCTTCTCTCAATGCTTCCATAATCGCTACGCCCCATGCATCACTAGATTCATCAGAAAAGAGAGATGAAAACGATTTCGAAAGTGACATTGATATCACATCCACTTTAGCTGAGATTGCTTCATAAATAGCATGATTTACACTATCATTATCAATTAACCACAAGGGCATCCAATTGCATAGATTGCAATGCGGGGTGGGGGTGAGATGCCACTAATGGTGCCTAATTTGATCCGTCCAATACTAGCATCAACAAAACGACGTGACGCTATGATAGAAGAACAAAAATAGCCGTGTGCGTTTATTCCTACTGGTGTAGATTGTTTGCCTGCCTCATAGCAGTCCTCACACAACTTATCAATAGACTTGTAATCCTCTAACCCGCTAAATCAACGAAGAAAAAAAAAACATTAATAATATACTCAATAGTAAGGATTTGAATATAATATAAAAAATAATTCAAAACTCTCAAGTCTCACCTATGATCACAAAGAAATGTCAAAACATTTCTATCACAATGAATAGATGTCTTCCGACAACCATCTATAATAGCAACAGTGGATTGATTATAGATGCTGCTACTAGAAAACTCAAATGGATCCATATCCTTTCTCTTACACTAACCTGCATATATAACATAAATAACATATTACGTATGTGCTACATTGTTCCCATTACATTGTTTCCATTACAGATTATAATAGCAGTAGTATATGAATTTTTTAGAGCTGAATCTAAATATCGAGTTGAAAACTCTAAACATGACATTGTAAATAAAGCAGAATAAAAATTAAAAAAAACAATGGCAATTGACTCCTATAACAATGATTTTACTAGTGGAAGTTGAAAGCACGTGTATGTTAACCAAAAAATTTCCAACCGAACATGTACTTCAAAAAAATCTACAATAAAAGGCCTAGAGACACTTATGTATATATAGGAACAAATAAGAAAATACATTCTCGACAAGCTCATAATCATATTTCCTCTTTGTGCATTAAACATATAGAAGTCAGAATCTAATCCAAAGTTATTGCCGCATATCTAGTGTTCTACATATTGTAACATTGGAAAGATGGAATTCCAATATGGATTATACAACGCGCAAGAACTTGTGAGATTAATCAATACAAAATCACTTTGAGATCATTCATACACAAAACCAACAAAACTTTTCAATAGCGGTTCTTGGTTAAATAAAAACAAAGTCATTACTTCCCTGGAGCAGTGATTATGTAAGTACGTGTAAGAAAACCCTGCATAGAATAATGTACATTATAATTGATAGAAAAGCCACACCACAAGATTACAAATGCACTAAAAATTTGCATTTTTTATATCTAATAGTGCAAACATATCAGATCTTAGTTGCATATAATTGTAGAATTTGGTTTTCACTCATACCTACTTAAGAGGTACTCCCCCTTTGTCCCCAAAAAGGGTGGTACATTTTGACCAAAAAGTCGAATGTTTTTCTATAATGATTCCTCAAACACATCGTTAGACTTACAACCATAAAACTAATTGTTAGCTCAAGAAGGCCATGTGCTCCGCACCGGTTTTAGCCATGCCAAACTTCACCGAGATGTTCGTGGTGGAATCGAATGCCTCGGGTTTCGGACTCAGAGCGGTTGTGATGCAAGATGGAAGGTCGATTGCCTTCTATAGCAAGGTTCTGGGGCCACGTGGCCGGAGTAAGTCGATCTATGAGAAGGAGCTGATGGCGGTGTGTTTATCGGTACAAAAATGGAAACATTATTTATTGGCAGAAGGTTTATAGTGAGAAATGACCAGCTGAGTCTGCGATTCATAACTCAACAGCGAGAGGTCGGGATGGAGTATCAAAGGTGGATCAGGAAGCTCATTGGGTTCGACTTTGAGATACAGTATAAACCCGGGGAAGTGAACCACGTGGCTGACGCCCTCTCACGCAAAGGTGAGGAGGAATCTGAGTTAGGGTCCATAATCACCGTTCATGCGGTGGATTGGGGTGAGCTGGAGAAAGAAATTGCAAGGGATAAGCTGCTCCAGAAGGTGAAGCAGGACCTTGCGGAGGGAAGGTAAATTCCTGGTTCGCAATTGAACACCAGAAACTAAGGGGCGCTTGGTGGTGCCCAAAAATTCGGTAATTAAGCCGGCATTACTTAAGGATTATCACGACTCATCGGAAGCAGGACGTGTAGGAGAAACAAAGACATATTTGAGGATGGCTGGCTGGCAGGGAATGAGGCGCGATGTGGCGAGTACGTGCGAGGGTGTTCGACGTGCCAAAGGAACAAACACTCACAACAAAGTCCGGCAGGGCTGCTACAACCACTCCCTATTCCCGGGGCGGTGTGGGAGGATATCACTATGGATTTTATTGAAGGACTTCCTAAATCCAAGGGGTGGCTGTGATCTTAGTCGTGGTGGATCAACTCACAAAATATGCTCATTGAATTGGGCTTAAACATCCGTTCACAGCGGCGGTGGTGGCTGACCACTTTATCAATGAGGTTTTGAGGTTGCACGGGTTTCCGAGAAGTATTGTTACAGATCGGGACCGAATTTTCTTAAGTGTGTTTTGGCGAGAACTCTTCAAAGCTGCAAGGGACAGAATTACGAAGGAATACGTCTAACCACCCTCAAACGGACGGTCACACAGAGGTGGTTAACAAGGGTCTTGAGACCTATCTTCGTTGCTTTGCCGGAGAGCAGCCGAAAGCATGGGCACGGTGGCTTTCCTGGCTGAGTATTCTTATAATACAGCAGTCCACTCTTCCACCTCAATGTCCCCCTTTCGAGGCCTGTATGGCATTGGTCAAACTCCAGTCGATAGTCTAGAGGAGATGCTCCAATAGAGGGATGTGATCTTGGATGAGTTACGCCTTAATCTGTTAAAGGCAAAGCAAGTCATGAAACAAGGGGCGGACTCGAAGAGAAGGGAAGTAGAATTCAGTGTGGGAGAGTTTGTCTTTCTCAAACTCCAACCGTATCGCCAAAAATCACTTGCAGGGCGACCCTTCGAAAAACTGGCAACACGTTACTATGCACCATATGAGGTGGTTCAGAGAGTGGGGAAGGTTGCATACAAGTTACAGTTGCCGGATCAATGCTCCATTCATCTTGTCTTCCATGTTTCACAATTGAAGCGCGCTATTGGGAACTTGCCAAGCTCACCCACCAATCCTCATCAATCCTCATCAGGTAACTCTCAAAGTTTGAATTGGCGGTGGAACCCGAATCAGTCACCACAGTCCGGCACGCAAGGGATGGAAAAGGGGTCCGAGAGGTCCTTATTAAATGGAAAGGGTTGCCAGATATGGAGGCCACTTAGGAGGAAGCTGAATCAATTGCGATTCCCTGACAAGGTGTGTCTTTTGGGGGTGGGTAATGTAATGAACCAGCCCACACCACCACTACTCCACACTTACAGCAGGAGAAAGAGACAAATGCAGCAGCAGCAACAGAGGCAGGGGAGCACCCTCCACCCACAGCAGCAGCCTGCAACACCAACCCCTTAGAGCTGTAACAGTTGGTGTCTTATTAGCTTACTTTATGTTGCTTTTTGTGCTTTTGGGTAAATGAAGAATGTAGCAATTAAGCCTTGATGCCACATCACTAGTTAGTGTAGCCCTATATATATGGGAAGCTTAGGAAAGAGAATTCATTCAGAAAAGAGCCTCGGAGACTTGTGACCTAAAGTCACTAACTTGTTCTGCAACTATTTAATCAATCAACTTGTCTTTCCCTCTATTATCTTCCTTGAACCTGTATTTGCTAGCTAGCTCGCGCATTCTGTTGCATCTCAGTCAAGCATCAACAATAAATGTATCAGGCCCAACAGCAGCATGTTCTGAGTTGAGGCCTAAGTTGAGAACAGTTAGGAAGTAGTTAGTGTTTAGTGTTGATGGTTAGGGTATTTTTTGGATCCTTGTGACAGGAAACTTTGTTTACATTCATTGCACAAGGAAACAATAGTATTATGTGCAGTTAGTGCACTTGAAATACAGAAGTATTATGTGTATTTTGTGCAGTTGGAACAAGGTTTATAAATGCAATATTTTCTTGTAGCTAGCTTTTGAATTGGTTTCAGCTGAGATGTTATCTGTTTTGTTTGTTCTATTACCTTGCATGGATTATGTCTAGAGATGGGAGAACTGTAACAATCCTGTCCAAAAAATGGAATTAAATACAATGTACTATACAAGTATACAGAATAAATGGGATTGATGATGCACATTGTCATTGATTTTGCACAACCAGAACAACAATTTTGAAATTATCAAGATATTTCACAATTCAATTTGATTACGAAACTAATTAAAAGGGGAAACAGAACAACATTTCCTCTCAGCAGTAAAGTTCTAATTGGTAAAACTAGGAACCAGGACTGAAGTAAAGAAGACCTGTCATATTAGCCAAAAAATACAGCATGTAAAAACATTAAGGAAGCTCCAAATTATTTTACATTGAGCTAATTATTTTAAACATCTCTTCAATTTCATTCAAAACCAATACCATGAAACTGGGCAAAACAGAACCACTGTCATTTCATCGAACAGGTGGTGGGCATAATTCCAAATAAGAAAAAAAGCAACAGAAATCTAAATAAGCAATACCCAGAAGTTATTTCTTTGTGATTAGACATTAAATTTAACGTATATAAATTGATTTTCGTAAAATATGGAGTTTTCGAGTTTAAAAATGATAAACAGGCAGGTGAAAATTCAAAATTGAATCAGAAATTTAGAATGTACCAAATTCGTGTAAGCCAACTGAATTAAGAACAAACTTACCGATGATGTGAGATTTTACAGTTGCGCGCAAGAAGAAGGGTGATAAATTGAAGATTGAGAGCAGCTGCAAGAATATTGACGTGAAAAATGAAGCGGTTACAAATCAATCATAATTAGAAAAGCGAATTCCGAATTCCAACTATAGCACAACAACATTATCACATTCAAACGCTCAAAACCCAAATTCGAACACAGAATTCATTTTATACTTCATAGCATAGAAGCAGCAATAACATAACCACTCCAAGAAAGTATTAACCTCATTCAATGACTGACATTATCGCATTCAAACGCTAAAACCCCAAATTCAATCACAAAAGTATTTCATTACCTAATGAAATCATTCAAATATTACTTCATTTCATTCTTCATAGCATAGAACTAGCAATAACAGAACCACTCCAAAAAAGTGTTAACATTCAATAACATTATCGTATTCAAACCCTAAAAACCTAAATTCGATCAAAGAAGTATTTCATTACCTAATGAAATCATTCAGATATCACTTCATTCAATTCTTCACAGCATAGAAGTAGCAATAACAGAACCGCTCTAAGTAGTAAGCTCATTCAACAACAACCGTAACAAAATTCAGAGGAGAGAAGACGATGATGAAGCGAGAAAAGGAAGTACGTAGCGAATCGTCAAATTCGTTTCAGTGTTGACCGCTGACTTGGAGCGAAAGCTGGAAGTCGGGATTCGTTCCTTCCTTTCTTCCCTTTTCTTTTCTTTTCCGGTCGTACTCCAAAGTTCGAATTATTTTGCTACCCCTTATATATGCGTTTAAGCAAACCCGCCAAACACTAACACGATACGAATTGAATATTTTTTCCGTAACATTTTAATTACAATATTTTTTACCAATACCGACTCTTACAAAGTAAATGTTAATTTTAGGGACATTGTTACACATCTACCCACCGGGTAGTCTACCCAAAACTAATAGATTATTAAAATATTAATGTTTAAGTCAGGTTGGATTCCACTAACATAATTATCATAACCTTATACTTCCTCTGTTCTTTATTAGTTGCATCCAAGCAACTTGGCACAAATTGAAATAATGGATCCCATGTGTTAGGGGAGAGATAGAGAGAGTATATTGCTCAAAAGGAAAAGGATGCAAGTAATATGAAACTTTCAACAGTGGAAAAGGATGCAAGTATTAAAGAATGGAGGAAGTAATAAGTGTGGGTAGTCTACCCATTGGGTCAACCAAGTTTTTTCCTAATTTTAGACTTGTAGTTTTGGTGGGTTAATTAGATAAAAAGGAGAGAAGAGAAAGTGGTATAAAAAAAAAATGGTTAATTACTAGATGTTATGCCAGTGTTATGTCCGTATTATATTAAGTAAGTTCAATAAAATATTTTATAACAATAAAATTAATGTAATTTAATAAAATCAACTAAATTGGTATTAGTATATTAATAATGTATAGTTATGGAAAAACTATTTTTGTAATTACTTATTGAAGATACAATAAACAAAAATCTTTAACAAATAAAATTGTGAGAAAAACAAAGATATTAATTGTTAAATATTTTAATTTATTTATAAAAATAAAAATATTCATCATAAAAAATATATAGTTGTGGAAAAACTATTTTTTATTAAATTATAAAATTTGAAATTTCAATTTAGTATTCAATGGAGGAGAATTATTTCCTCCCATTGCTTATCATACTAATTAAACATGTTAAAAATGAAATATGTATTTATTAAATTTAAAAATCCAGTAAAAAAAATTAAACGGACAAACTTAATTAACACATACAACTAAAGAAAAAAACATTAACTTGAATTTTGTATTAATAATTTTACTAATAATTAATATTTTAAAACTTAGCTAAATATTGATCATCATTTAATCTATATTATATAAATCAAACTCTTCCACTTTATTTGAGCTCATATTTTCTTTTGTTTTATATTTCCCTCCCATCTCAATAATATATTTGAATAAGGATATATTTCAAGAATAAGGAGTATTAATATTTGTTCGCACTTCTCTAACGCTAATGTATAAGCAATTGTGGTTAAAAAAAAAATATTAGTATAACATGCACGCATAGCATGCAAAAAATGCTAGTTATTAAAATAGTATAACACTCATTAAAAAGAAAAGACTTTAAGTTATGGTTGAACTCTCATTTCCGCAAGTATATATACAAATTTAGGTGAATTAAGTAGGGGCTTTTTCATATAATGTTATACTCCCTCCGTCTCAGATTATTTGCACCAATTATCTTAAATGGACGTTCTAAATTACTTGTACTTACTATTTTAATCATGTAAACCCCAACAAATATTTACTATCATACCTTGAATTTGAATAAAAAATCTTAAATCATCTTTATAACTTCTTTAACTTGCAATTTCATCCAATCAAATATCTACCCACTTGTAAGTTCCAAAAAGGGTTGTTAATGAGCCGAGCCGAGACCGAGCTTTGCTAGGCTCGGCTCGAGCTCGTGAGCTTGGAGATTCGGCTCAGCTTGAGCTCGTGGCTCGTCGAGCCTGGAATATTGAGCTCGGCTAGAGCTAGAATGCTCGAAAACGGAGCTTGGTTTGAGCTCGTGGCACCGCTCGAGCTCGAGGTTTAAATGAGGCTTGTTTAAAAGCTCATTTATAAAGAGAGGCTTATTTAGGCCGCCCATCATATGAACTTGAGCTTGTGTATTATAGTTTTATTTTTATTTTTATTTTTATATTATTTTATGCCTTTTCATTCATTAGCTTTAGTTAAATGTATAAAATAAATATACAACTCGAGCCGGCTTGCGAGCTTTTTGAGTTGAACTTAGCATGGATCGTGTATTATCTCATTTATTCTCGATCTGAACTCAGAGCTCGAGCCAAGCTTTGACCAAGCCGAGCTTGAGTTGTTCGTGAGCAGACTTAGATGATTAACAACCCTAACTATGATTTTACAAAAATGATGTCACTAGCATAACTAAGTTACTGCCCTATTATCAATTTATCACTACTAACTCTCTTCTAATATGCTTATTTGTAATCATGTTACATTATTTAATCTAACAACCTCTTGATGTTAGCTATTGATGTTGGTCTTGCAATAAATTTAGATCGATATATATATGTGAAGATTAAATTAAAGTTAACATAAATACTCAATCAAGTTAATTAATTAAGCTTAGCAAAATTAAATAACGTGAATTGCAATCAATAATGAAGATGCAATGCTAAATTGTCAATCATTAAATTGAATCTACCCAATTAAAAGTCATAATAAATAGATCCCCGATTGCCACGTGAATTATGATGTTCATGCATCAAATATGTTGTCCACAACGACAATAACTCATGCCCACATATAAAAACAAGTAATAAATTCATTAAGTTGCCCTTGTGTAAAAATTTTGATGCAAGTCTTAGCTAGTTCTATGAGCCCTTTGTATTGGACCCTTCCAACGAGAGTAACAAAGAGTAAAACAAAAGATGATTCCAAGAGTCTGGAACTCCTGGGAGACACCAATGGCTACAATCTTGTGGAATCCCCTTTCGCCGCTTGCTTCCAGGACGTCAATATATTGATGGGTGCGCGTCTTTTCTATAATTTGTCAATTTTGTAATGTTAAGGTACAACACCAGTGTCTCCATTTCTGAAATTATTGTTTCAAGACTTTGCATTAACCATGGATATGGTGTTAACATATTTTCATCAGTTATTGGAGTTGTGTCGTTGTCACAAGTGCCCCCTGAATCCCAATCACCTCCCTTGCCAGTGGCGGATCCAGGATTTAATTAATAGGTTGTCTCATAATCGTCCATCGACCGCATATAATATCAAAAAATAGTCAAAACTTGTATAATGAACAAAAAAAATATATAAAAAAGTTCATTTCATAAAGTAGGTTACTTGACACGTGTCTGCATGTGAATGGTCTATTTTATTTAAAAAAAAAAATAAAAAAAATTAATTAAACAATTCCCCACCCAGCCCGACAACCACTCCCCAACCCAGCCCCGACAGCCACCCCCCCTGCACCACCACCGAAACCACCCTCCTTCTAGAGCCACATGAGCGCAATAGCCCCCCCCCCCCGCCCCAGCCCCACCAACGAAACCGCGCAAAACTTGAATTCCCCAACCCGAAACCATCCTAAACTCCCATCCCTTTCCCCACCCGAAATCCCCACCCCTCTCCCTGACCCGAAACCGCCGTAGACTCGAAACCCCTACCCCTGAAACCATTCCCCCACCCCTTGGAATTTGTGAATTTGTGTTTTTTCCTATAAATAAACTACAATTCACAAATCTCAATTGACCAATAACTTCGATGGAAATTGCAACTTTAATTCCCATTTCATGAATAACAACTATACAATTAAAACAGTAAATAATCAATTAAAAACCCTAGAACAATTAATCAATCCAAACTTCTAAAGACTAAAGCAAAACCTTCAAATAATCATTTATAAACTAAATAAGAACAACAATATAAAGCTTTTCAACAATTACCATAAAGAATTACTTAGCAAAAAGCAAGAAGTCAAGAACAATCACCAAAATACTCAAATTTGAATTTTGAAAATTAGGGATTTAAGGTTAGTAAATTACCTGGTTTATTAGTTTATAGAGTGGACAGTCGGACAGAGGACAAGAGTGGGTGGAGCCGCAGAGGTTGTCGGCCGGCGGTGGGTGGTCGATCTGGTGTCTCGGTCAGTCGACACTCAGCGCTCGGTGGTTGCGTCGTTTCGTCCGTGTGTAAGAGTGGGTGCTAAATTTTGTTATTCAAAACGTTTATTTTTTTAGGGAGAGAGAAAATAACTGACAATTTTTTTTTTTAACTTTACTTGATTTTTGGTTGGGTTTCACGTGACTTTGGGAGTAGTAAGGACAATTCTCACTTTTGTTAGACATTGTCACCACTTACCTTTAGCAAATTTATTAGTTTTTTTTTGTTTTAATTTATTTAAAAATTAATACTGTGTCACGGGACCCACCATGACTAAAGGTGGGTCCACCACTGTCCCCTACACCAATCAAATGAAATAATATCAATCAATCAATCAAAATCTTAATCTCATAAGTGAGATCGGCTACATAAACTAAAAGTGATAATTCTAGGTAGCTACAATCGAGGACCAAATTTCTCCTGCAAATCTATGCTTCATATCTTTTCTAGTTGAAAATTGTGTATTTATTTGGATCATGTACATATGTAAATGTATAGTTCAAATTTGACTCAATGAACACATAATCATAATCTTTGAGGCGAAATGTTACCTGAAATGAGTATTGAAGATGAGAAGATCGGCGTCATGGTACTTGGAGATAGAGGCTTCCAAAGTGTCCAGCCTCAAGGTTTCTCTTCTCCTCGAGATTTGATTTTGTTGGACTAAGAAGGGTGTCATGATGAACATTATGCTGCAATTATAATCCTAAAACCAACTGCCAAATTTTAATTAACCAGCTTCATCAAGCTAATAAAAAAAGTAATAATACTTAAATTGAGTCAAATTATCTTGTAATATTCATCCATTTGTCATTGGAAGTATTTAGCCCTTTAAAAATATTTCAAACCAATCTAAACCAATAAGTTAATCTACTCCATTAATGCATCAACAAAAATTAATAATCGTTAATTTCATGTCTTTAATTAGTCTTTGTTGCTAGAAAGTGTTTAGTATGTGTTTAATTTTTCTAGTATAGCACAAAAAAATGACAATAGGCCAAAAACAAATTTTCCATAATGGTTGATTTAACGAATTCAATGCTATAAATATCATACCTTACCTTGTAATAATATGTTGAAAAATCCCGGGATCCTGAGGTTTGTATGTTAAAGATTTTTAAAGAACCAATCAACGATTTACACATGTTCCTGTTTAATGAATCTCCGATGAACATTAATCTCTTCCCTCTTAGCATCTTGTACAATAAAATTTCTTGTTGTTTTGCATCGATTGCTAAATTTCTTATTGTACTAAGAAAAAAGTTAATATTATGTCAAAATAGGAGTAATAGGAAAAAGTTTGTGATATATGCTGCTTTTGAGGACCCTTCTTATTGTACTCGTACAATAAAATTTCTTGTCATTCCTCCTGACTTGGAGTAGAACTTGTGCAAGCAATCAAGCATATACATATCTGATGTGTAAAATATTTCGATCAAAGAATACTCCTTATATAATTGATTATGTTTCGTACTCCTCAACTCCAGCTCGATCAATAACCATGTTCTCTACATTTCTAAATATTTGATGGTTTTGCAATTTCAAGGTCTAACTATGATTATAAAATATTCTTAAACTGTATCGATATAAGTTACATCAACTATTTTACTAGATTTGTTTTGATATTGCCTTCATAAATCATAATATTGTTTTTCTTCACTATAACTGATAGTTGAGGCCCAAAAATATGTTTTATACTCTATCAGAGGCCCTTCCATATCCGGCACGAATTAATTCCACTTTGAAAGAGGGGTGGATGAGATTCGAACCCGTGACCTCTATGTCACGTTGGCTCTGATACCATGTTAAAAGACCAACTCAACTAAAAGCTTAAGCTGATGGTTGATGCCTAGAAATATGTTTTATACTCTATCAATAACCATTATTTGCGGTACGGTTAAAGTCCAACGTTAAAAAACATATATTTTAAACTCATATTATTACAACATAAGTAATTATCTAATGAAAATGAGGAAGAAGAATTTTGTTAAGATTTTTAACATATTCAATTTCTTAAGAATCCTTGATTTGTGTGAGATTCTAGACAATGGCAATTATGATTAATGCTCCCTATGATCTAAGATACTAGTTATATAGTACGAAGTAAATGTTTGAAGTCAATCTTTTATACTAACTATATAAGAAGTCATTCTTTTATACTTCGTACTGATAATAAGGTAGCAGACTAGCTGGAAACTCAATGTTGCATTTATAACCGACTAGTGGCTTGGCCACTACGTGCGCGCCTGCCGGTATGTGTAGAACTAGAACTAACAAATTTGGCGCTGACATTGTTTATGCGCAGATGTTATTGTGCTAAAAAAAACCAATTAATTAGAATTGAAAGTGATAAGCTACAAATATAAATTAATACCCTAATGATAACACTAAGAATAATATGCGAAGGATCTTTTGTAAATTCTTATCTCTTTCTTTGTTTAACCTATTTCATATACTCTCCATTTCATATTATGTGCAACAAAGACCTTAACACATACTTTTATGCAAATTTTGTTTGTGAGTGTTAAACGAAGAGTGAAATATAGAGACGCATAGGCATCATGCATGTGATGAGAGAGAACAACTTAAAAATTAAAGGAATGAAAACATTTGTTGTACATAAAGTGTAGCTTCCGTTATTAGTAAATGTTGCACATAATATGAAACTGAATCGGTAATTAGATGATGAGATATTTTAATAGCTCTTTACATATCCTAAAGAAGCTTAACGAAATGCGAAGTAGCTTATTTAGAACTGAAAGTAGTTATTGGACCAAGCGATGCCCCAAATCATCACATGCATGTAATTTGTGAGTATTTTATAACAATTTTGTCGACATTTGTATAAAGCTAGGTCGAACCATTCGATAATTCAAAAAATTTCGAGAAATAGATAGCTTGGTAAACATAATAGTAATATTATTCATGCGGTATGAAACGGGGATGGGGTGGGTACAATAATAAATCTACTCTCGCCTTGCTAGTGTCACCCTAGCGGATATGATTTTTATCCATCCCCATCCCCGACCCCAATCTGCCAAACTAAATTCGCCCCCGCGGATGGCTCGCCCCACTCACATCCCTACATGCTACATAATTTCAACCCAATTCTCCACTCTCACTTTAAGCATTTGTTATGTTAATCGGGAAAGAAAATAGTATAGATTATAAAATATTTTTCATCAAGATTTTTGCAAATAAATAAATTAATACGGAGTATATAAAATAGCTAGAGAATTTTTAGCCAAGATTTCTTGTTGTTTTGCATCGAATGCCAGACGTTTGTACTGATTTATGTCTGACTGACTTTAATGGGCTTCTATCCATCTAATTAATTAATGTCATGCATCTTTTCACCAAGAAAAAAAAAGGACGGATGAGGTATATGATGTATTCATTTTATATATTATTTTATCCCCATCCCGTGATCATAGTTAGGAGTATTTTTGGCTCTTTAGAGCCAATTTTATTACTAATATGTGTTTTCTAGTGTTTTCGTAGTTGTGGTATTATTCTACAGGAAACTGCAGATTTGGGAACATTTTCCGGCACTTAGTGGAGCCACCGCGAGCATTGGAGACGAGACGCATTTCTATGATCGTATTCCGAAGCCCAGGACCGTATTTGAGGAATCAATCCGGTGATTAAGGGCTCAATGAGGAGATTTGGAGCTTGGGCAATTCGATACAAGAAGGATGACGAATTGGGCTAAGGTAATAAGGCCCAAAGGACGAAGAAGAGTAAGCCCAAGCATCCGCCCGACCGGGCAGTGCCCTCGCCCTGAGGCGCGCCCGGCCGGGCGAGAGGAGAAGACCATAGGGCGAAGGTTCGCCCGGATGCGCGCCCGACCGGGCGCGAGCAACGCACATTATAGGGCGATGCCTCGCCCGGCCGGGCGATGCCTCGCCCGACCAGGCGCGTGTTCTATTTAGGATTTTTATTTTCGTTTCTCTTTTTCTTTATTGAGGATTTTAGTTTAGTATAAATACGCTTTTGTTAAGTGAGTTTAGGGGCGTCTTTGACACGGACGAATTTTCTTTCTCTCTTCCTTTCTCTCTCCTTCTTACTTTCTCTCTCTATACTTTATCTCTCTACACACTCTTGATTTATAGAATTCATTATTTTCCTTAATTTTGGTAACGATTTCTTCCCTCTTTATTTTCAATAATTTAATTGCTTTGACTTAATTATGCTTTCTTTAATTGCTTTGCTTAGCTTAATATTAAATATGTGTAAGTAGTTTAATTCTAGGGTTGTGGGGATCCATGAATAGTACGAAGGGGTAATTGTTTATTGTTAATGGTTAATGATTGATTAATTTCCTATTGATTGATTTAATGCTATGCAATTAGATTTGCGCAGATTTAATTGTATGAGTTTTGCAATATTGATTCGAGATTCGAGAGATGAGAATTGATGTTTAGGCTTAGTTTCAATAGACATGTTAATCTATTAATGGTTAGGTCGAGATTCGAGAGATGAGATTTAATACCAGTAGATTAATTATGTGATTATAATACGTAGCGACAGCCCTTTATAATCTGGTTAATTTATGCATTGATAATTGATTGTATGTTTTACCCTGGAGTATTATTTATTGGTGAACCTATACCCTAGAGCTCTTTATTATTGATTATTCCTTTGATTTATTTGCTTAGTTTTATTATTAGTTTAATTCACACAAACACAAATTTGGTTACTTAATAGTTTAGATTATAATCGTTGATTAGGAATAAAAGAACACTGTTTCCCTGTGGATTCGACCCTGCTTCCCTATCTGCTTTAGTTAGAGGACTTAGGAATTTCTTTTGATTGGGTGATACGACTAAATCCTGTCAAAATTTGGCGCCGTTGCCGGGGAAACGGTTTTATTTTTTTATTTTTGATTATTTTTGTAGTCTAAATTATTTTCTTTCGTCTTAGAGAACGCAAGTTCTTTGGGACAGTTTCTCATATCTGTTTGTTTAGTTCTGTGTTTATGCCCAGGAGTTCTAGATCAGGTTACATTCCGTTTGACCCTGAAATTGAACGTTCTTTTCATAGACAAAAGAATCTTTTTAGACAGGTACGAGCTACTTCTGAGGGTACTATACCTTTGGAACCACCATCTGATTCTAGTGATATAGAGGTTCATTCAGAACTAGAAGCAGAGATGACGCACCAACCACCTCGCAAGCTCAGCGATTATTCGCAGCCGACCCTGACAGATTTCCCACATCTTACTCCTCCACCTGCCCTCGAAGGAGTACAATTTGAAATCAAGCCCCAGTTTATCACTATGATTGAAAGGAAG